CTATTTCACTTTCAAATTAAATTTTTATTTTATACAATAATTTTGAGTCACAAACAAAAAAATTAACTGTATATAAATTTTCTAAATGTAAAATTCAAGTCTGTAATTTTATTGCAATTAGTAATTTAGGAAAATATTTTTAATAGAAAATATTTCGTTCATTTAAAGACGTTAAAAATTTGCAGATCATTAAATTTCAAATTAGTTTTTTCTTCAAAAAATTTATTTTTAAAGTAATTTTCTCCTATGTCTCCGTCTACTTGAAAAAAGCAAAAAATAAAAAATAATTAAAAATAAATCTCCACTATCTACATATTGTCAGATAATGTATTTTTAAAAAAATTTTCTAATACATATACTTATTCATTTTATTATAGACTATTTTCTTTTTTAAAAAATATGTCACTATAATTTTCTACACAATTATCAATAAATTAGAAAATTTAAAAAACTGATAATAAATTATTATTTGCTATTTGTTGCAATCTTTTATTTTCATTTATTTTATTTTTTATTTATTTATCCAAATTAACCATATTTAGTATTACAAAATAATAATTCTTATTATATTATTATTATTATTATTATTATTATTATTATTATTATTATTATTATTATTATTATTATTATTATTATTATTCCTGTTTTTTGTTATTATTTATCTATTATTAAAAATTCAGTTCAAAAAAATAAATAAGACATTAAAAAATGCATGTGTTAATATATGCTAACGAATTTTTATAATAACGGGAAATTACAATGATTTTTAAAAGTTTGACAAGTCACGGATCTCACGTGAGTTGATAGGATTTTACAAGTCATGTAATTGTTAACGAAATAATATAATTTCTTGCATTCACGAAACGTGTAATTTCAGTATTAAAAAAAATTTATTCTTCCGAAAGAAAAATGAATTGTATATTTAATTTAATCAACCGAAAAGTATATATATTTGCGAATAAATATTTATTATAATTTCTATTTATTAAATAATAAAAATAAAAAAAAAGTTAAATAATTTTCAGTAAGTAATTTGTTGAATATTCAACAAAATATTAAAATCTGTAAAAGATATTGTGAATAAATATTATTTTATTTATTTATTTATAAAATGAATAAATTAAAATAGTAGAAAAAAATTTACGTTCATAGGCGTAAGGCATGAACTGTGTATATAGTAAATAAATAAATGAATAAATAAATAAATAAATAGTAAAAATAGAATTTTCGAATTGTAAAAATGCATTTTTTATATTATAATTAATTATTATAATTTATTGTATTTAATTTATTATTTATTTATTAAGTGGTATTTTTTGAGGACCTTAACTTTTATTATTTACTATTTCATCATTTATTTATTTATTTAAAGATACATATATACGGACAAGGCCTTTGAAAAGCAGAAAACAAATTTATTTTTCTTATTTCCCATTAAAGTTGAATCACAATTTATTATAAATTTCCATTATTATTTCGAACAGTTAAAATAACATTTTTTTTAATAATAAAACTAGAATTTTCAACTTGTAAAACTACATTCTGTTTTTAAACATATTTTTTCAAAAAAAACTATATAATTTGGTTTCTCTTTTAACTTTAGAAATAAGAAAAAAAAATTTTTTTTCCCAGAAAACGAGAATACTCGTCAAATTAACTAGAAAGTAAACAAGTGACAAACATCCTAAAATGAGGGAAAATCACAGTCTTAAATTTCAACCCCGGCAATCTAAACTAACAAGAACAAAATAGAAACCAACGAGGAAAAAACACTGGTAGTAAATGTCTTCTGAAAACGCAAAGTAAAAGTTTTTTCTCTTGAAAAAAAAGAAAATTCAAATAATATTCAACTTTTTTTTTCTTGAATAATTCCAAAAAGATTGAAAAATTGAATTTCCACTTTTTGATTCACGTAGTTCCAAACCTTGCATTTTTAATACTCAAATCGTAATAATATTTTTAAAAAAAACACTATTTTAGTAAATTAGTAAATTAGTTGTGAATATAAATAAATTATAAAAGAAACAAAATAAATAAATAAATTAATGAATAGATAAATAAATAAATAAATTAATTAATTAATTAACAAATTATTAAATAGATAGATAAATAAATAAATAAATAAATAAATGAATAAACAAACAAGTAAATGGACGAATAAATAAATAAACAAACGAAAAAGTGAACGAATAAATAAACAAAAAAATAAGTTAATAAAGGAATAAATAAATCAATAATAATTAATTTATTAAATAATTAACTAATTACAATAATTGTAGAGGAGAGAATAAGTATCAATCTTTCCAAGTCAATTGCAAAAATTAATAATTATCATTATTATTAGTTAATTATTATTGTCATTATTTATCATTATTAATTAGTTAATTAATTTATAATACAAAATTTAATCTCCATTTATTTATGTTAATTTATACTAAAAATTAATTCTACCTTAATTGCAAGGAAAACTGTTAGTAATTCTTTAAAAATTAAAAACAATAATAATTATTGTAATTATTAAATTGTAAATTGTAAATTTTGGCGAAATTTAAAAAAAATCAAGTATTGTAATTAATTTATTTAGCAAAGAAACAATATAAATGAAAAAATTATAAAAATTAAAGTATCTATGTTAATAATTATTCGAATAATGTTAATAGATACATATAATTATAATAAATATGCACTCTGAGTACAAAGTAGTGTACAAATTAAACCTAATTTTATTTTGTAATTAAATGTCTGCTATGAATTCGTAACAATTCTAATTTTTTTCTTTATTTACATTTTACTTTCTTCATTTGGATTTTATTTTTGTTGTATTTGTCAAAAATATGGAATAATTAGTTTTTTTTTATTAATTATTAATAATTATTATTCGAATATCAAATAATAAGAAAATTCCACTCTACTATCAATTATTAATAATGTGACTAATTATGATTAATAATTAATAGAACAGAAAAAATAAAATATAGTAGAAAATAATAATTATGGTCTGTACAAATTGTTATAAAAAAATGAAAACTTTTTATATTTTATCTTTTTATATTCTATGTTCTTTATTTACACATTATTATTTTCATTCATTCAATTTATTTTTTATTCAAATTGCAATTATTTTCAGCAAAAATAAATTAAATTTTGTTTGTCGAAATAAAATACATAAATTTATTTTAAATGCAACAAAACATTTTCAAAAATTACTTTCCAAAAAATAAAAATAATAAAATAAAATAATCATAATTTAACTATTTTTATGAATTTTGAAATTTAATTGTAAATTTATTACTATTAAAAATTAATTAAAATCAACTAAATTAAATTAAACCAATTTTAAATTAATTCAAATTAATTTATTTAAGAATCAAAAGTAATGAAAATTAATTACAATAAATTAAACCAATTTTTTAATTAATTTAAATTAATTTTCATTAGGTACTTTTGATTTTTAAATAAATTAATTTCATTTTATTTTTCAAAAATTATCTTTCCTATAAAATTTTACACGTTCAAATGAACGAAATTTTTTTTCTAGTAAATGTTTTCAAAAATTACTTTCCAAAAAATAAAAATAATTAAAATTTAATATTTATTTAATTAAAAATTAAATTTTTTTATGTATACAAAATAGTTTTTTAGTAAAAAAAAAAACCAAATTAAAAGAAGTAAAAAAATATTTGTCAATTGAACGTGATAAACTTTAGGAACATCGAAACTAAAGTTAAAAGCATTTTTAAAATTAATTTTCAATAATTAATAGTGTAGAATAGAATTTGTTATTATTTGAAGTTACTACTTTTATTTATATTTTCTTTATTTATGTTTTATTTTCTTTACTTAGATTCTCTTTTCTTTATTTATATTTTATTTTCTTTACTTCGATTTTATTTTCTTTATTTATATTTTATTTATTTTTGTTTATATTTTATTTATTTCTATTTATTTTTATTTATATTTCCATTTATTTTCACTTATTTTCCATTTATATTTTCAACAAAAGTAAATTAATTCTCTCTCAAAATCTTCACTTAAATTTTTTTTCCCACTGATTTTCATAATTAAATAATATACCTTTATAACAAAAAGAAAAATAATGCTTCCTTTAATACCAAAACGTTTATAACGCACTCATTTTTTAATTATAAATCCCTATTGCACAAAAAATTGCAATTAAAAAGTCTTTCAAGTTTAATAACACATTTTTCTCTCACAAGATTCAATTTAAGAACAAAAAGAACTACAATTTTGCAAAAATAATAATTTTTAACCACAATTAGGAAAAATAATAAAAAGAAAAAAATTAAACCCTCAACTATAACAAAATGAGACACTGTAAATTCGACCTAGTTAAAAAGATAATTTCACTCCACTTGAAAGTTTAAACCAACCTTTTAAAAAAAAATTCTCCGTAAAACTAACGATTTTTGCCAAAACTGCAGTTTAAAAAAATATATATTTTTTTAAAAATGCAGTTTAAAAAAAAATATATATTTTTTTTAAACTGCAGTTTTAGCAAAAATAAAACGGTTTTTGTAAAAAAATTTTTCTCTGCTTTAACAGAAATTTGAAAACTCCGAAAATAGGGACAAAATATTTTTTTTTGTAAATTAAAACTCGAAGGCGGTGGAGAGAAAAAGAGAGAAAGAGAGAGAGGGGGGGAGGGGGATGAAAAAAAGGCGTTTTCACTCACATTCGTTGGTATGAAAAATAGTAAATCCTCTCTTCTTCTTAAAAAAAAACACTTGATTTCAATAGAGAAAAAAATCTCCTATTTTCAATAAAAAAAAAAAAATAATTTTCCATTTTGCAAAGAAATTTTGTTCATTAAATTTTTTCTTTTTCTTTTTATTTTCGAAAGTCCCGCGAATTATTTCGGTATTAACACTCACCGGTAAAATTTCATCCGGAAGAAGGTGGTTGAAGAGAGTGAGAGAGAATGAGAGAGAGAGAGAGAGTTTGTACGGTTTAATTTTCAAGAGTTTGTATTATTGATTTACCTGGACAGACCCGAAGACGATCTACGAAGCCTCTCGTCTAAGATTCGTGTTGATTTGTGAGTGGAGTCGATGGGGGGTTGAAATATTCTTTTGGTTTTTAAATTTTTTTCCTGTTTTTACTTTTTTTAATAAAAACGTGTGTGTTTATCTTTTCTTTTTTTTTAGTGAAAAACAACGGTCTCAAAACGGTGGTTGGTATTGCGAGGCCTTACCGTGGCGTAATCGAGAGCCGGCTGTCGCCAAGGGCTCTTTTCAACGGAGGCACCCGCCCTCGCCGCCCCCAGAACCCGCACTGCTGCCCCCGGAGAGCCTCCTTCGTCTACCCACCGAATTTACCAAAGGGGTTCCAGAGCGCAGAAGCATAGCGTACCACCGCCGCGTAGTTTTCTCCATTGGACTCTCAGAAAAACAACACATCTTTTTCTCTACAATTTTCCAGTAAATTCCTTCAAACCTACAAAAAAAGCTTAATTTGTCTTTTTTTCCTTATTTTTTTTTGTTTTTTTTTTAATTCCATTATGGAAAAAACTGTAATTAGTTGTAATTAAAGAATTCGAAAAAAAATTAATAAAAAAAAAATAATATTTAATTCGATTGAAAAAATTAATATTTACTTTAATTACAAAAAAAAAAATAATATTTATTTCAATTGGAAAAAATTAATGTTTCTTTCCATTGAAAAAATTAATATTTATTTTAATTTAATTTAATTCCGAAAAATTTAATATTTATTTCATTTGAAAAACTTGATATTTATTTTAATTACAAACAAATTAATATTTATTTAAAGTAAAGAACTTAATAATATTTATTTCAATTGAAAAAAATATTTACCTTAATTCAAAAAATTAATATTTACTTCAATTGAGAAAATTAATATTTATTTTAATTGAGAAAAAAAATGAAATTTAATTCCCAAAAAAAAAGTTGATAATAAATTACAAGGCCCATATTTTTTTTTTTTTTGAACGATGCACAGAATGCAAAAACCATTGTGGAGCGGATGAATAAATTTTTTTTTTTAATCCAACAGTCCAAAATTCCAGTGGATTAATTTTTATAAGTATATGAAATAATTTCAGTTCAACCACGTAATTTTTATTTAACGAAAATAAAAAAAATTCGGTCTATATGAAAATTTTATCTCTCAATGTGGTGAAATCCATCATCTTTATAAAAATTTGATCCACAGGAAATTCGAACTAATGGATTTCAAGAAATGTTCATGCGTTACAAAAAAAAAATTTTTTAATGGATGAATAGAATTTTTTTTTAATGATAAAAAAACGATTCGTAACATTTTAATTTACGAATTCATTATATTTATTTAATCATTAAATAAAAATTCTTTTAATTAAATAATTCTACTGTGGTGTTATTTTTAATTAATGGAAAAAAAATAATAATAATATGGTTATTACAGTGTTCGAAAGTAACGTGTTACTGACAAAAATTATCATAATTTAACTATTTTTATGAAATATGAAGTCTAATTTAATTAATTAAAATTAATTAAATTAAACCAATTTTTAAATTAATTCAAACTAATTTCGAAATCATCAGTTGAAATTAATATATTGAAAAATCAAAATTAATGAAAATTAATTACATTAAATTAATCCAATTTTTAATTAATTTAAATTAATTTTCATTGCTTTTGATTTTTAAATTTTAAATAAATTAATTTTCATTACTTTTGATTTTTAAATAAATTAATTTCAACTTATTTCGAAATTAATTTGAATTAATTATAAAAATTAGTTGAAATTAATTAATTAAAAAATCAAAATTAATGAAAATTAATTACATTAAATTAATCCAATTTTTAATTAATTCAAATTAATTTTCATTGCTTTTGATTTTTATATTTTAAATAAATTAATTTTCATTACTTTTGATTTTGAAATAAATTAATTTTAACTAATTTCGAAATTAATTTGAATTAATTATAAAAATTAGTTGAAATTAATTTTCATTAATTTTTAATTCTAATTACATAATTTTAAATAATTTTTAAATTAATTCAAATTAATCTTGAATTTTTATAAAATTAATTTCCTAATGAAATTTTTTAATTTTTAATAAAAATAATTTGAATTTTTTGAATTTAAAGTAAAATAATTTGAATTTTTTGAAATTAAATTAAAATAAATTAAATAATAAAATTTTGTATTACAAATGATTTTTAAGTTAATAAATTAAATAAATTTTTGTGTTCCACTAAAATTTTGAACGTTCAAAAGAAATCAAACATTTTTTTCTAAATATTTTCTAAACTTACTATGTAAATTGAAAAAAAAATAATGTAAATTCAACATTTATTTAGGAAAAAAATAAATTTTTTTAGTTTATTTTTACATAATTTATAATGTAAAATATTTTATATTTTTATAATGTTTTTTAAATTTTTAATTTAAATTATGAAATTTAATTATTATTTTAAAATACTAGGTAATTTTATTATATTATTTAATTAACTTAAATTATTATAATTTTATCAGCAGTTACAATAACGCATTTTATATAAAAAAAGTAACAAAACTTTTTGTTATAATTTTTATAAAAAAAAATGCGACGAACACTTTTTTTTAATATGTTAATATAAATGTCATGAAGTTAAACATAAATTAACATTGTCGATGATAATTTGTTTGAGCAAATGTAATTAATTAATTAAATAATTAAGTAATTAATTAATTAATATTGCTAACAAAAAAATGATTGTTAATGTAGGTGCATTTCAGAGTCACTCACAAGCAATTTCAAAATATTTCACTCCCACTAATTTCAATAATTAAAATTCGTAATTTTATAAAACGTCAATTAAAAAAAAATATATAATTTTAATGAAGAGATTTCAAGTAATGTTTTTTAATTTTGTCAATATTTTGTAAATTTCGTGTAAATTTTCTACCTAAATATTATTACAATTTTATTTTGTAACACATGGGAAAAAATTTGAGACTCAATTGAAAATAATTTAGTTAAATATTTAAAAATAATTTAATTAAATATTAAAAATAATTTAGTAAAATTAAAAATAATTTAATAAATTAAAAATAAATTAATAAATAACCTCTTGTAAACAAAACAGTAGTAAAAAGTAAATAATAATAATAGTAGTAAATAGTAAATAATAAAATAATTAATGGTAAAAAAATAGTAAATAGTACGAAATACTAAAAAAATAGGACCAAATACTAAATAATAAAGATTTTCCATTTTAGAAATTTAATATTTCAAATTAATTAGTTGAACAAGCAGTGAAACAATTAAATAAATTAGACCACAATAAACTAACCACGGCTTTTTGCAAACAATTGCACTTGATTAAATTTAATTTCAATTGTTTTACCAAAATTACTCTCCACACGTTACATATTTAACAACAATTCAAGTTTCCCGCATGTGTTACAAAAGTAAACGGAGTCGACGTGAGTTTTAACAATTAAACAGATTGCAGGGTTGCAGCAGCATCCAGTAACGAATCAATAAAACTGCGATAACCAAAGCGTTTCATACGTTTTGTTAAAAAAAAATTTTTTGTTGAATACCAAAACTCATCGAAAACAAGAAAAATAAACTACTGTCAAAAACAAATACCGAAAGAACAAGTTTTTACACCTAGAAAATTGAACAATTTTGCCATAAATTTATTACTCTCAACGATGTCAATAATATTGAATGCTGTATGGAGATAGAGATAAAAAAAACTAACAACAAGTAAGAATTCAATTTCCTGAAATTTCTCATATAATATTCTTTTTCCCCTGAAAACATAACCTCTTTTGCATGCATTAAAAGAAATTCGCGCATTAAAATCAGAGTTATGAAATGAAAAAGACTTTTTCTTCTTTTGTAGAATTAAAGAAAAAAAGAGCAATGAAATTGAAAATATGAAATAATGGTTAATGAAAGTTAATTGATCTGAATAAAATAGTTATTAAAAAACACAAGGAACACAAAAGTTATGACATGTGGAGAAGAATACTTAACGTAGGTGAGAATTGAAGCAAGTTTTTTTTAATGATTATTAAACGTACCAATCCCTTTATTAAGTTCCTCTTCTTTTGAAATTCTTTCTCTATTTATTATTATTTAAAAATACCGGTTATTTATCAGCTTGAGTATATTAAAATACAAACAAACAAAGAGAAGAATGAACCTGTATCTAGTTGTCGCATTTTTCACCAACGGCGCCACTAATCAGTCCGATAGTGTCTACATCTCTCGGTAGTTTCTAAAAACTCTAAGCAAATTTTTTTTTTGACATATTTAATTCACAACAATATTATTAATAGTACGATAGTACCGATACTAGTACCTGACAGCTAAACAAACTTTCACGTTTAATATTTAATAATAGTTATTAAATTTTTGTATAAAAACAAAAAGTATCTTATCAAGTGTGTAAATAAGTGTAATTAAATTAAAGATTTCATTCCTTAGAATTATAGTATTTTTGTAAATATTGAGGTTATTGTAAAAAGTGATTATTATTGTTTTTTCTATTATTGCTTAGAAAAATGATTTGTACTAAATTACATGACACTTGGTGAGAATAGAATTTAATTGAAATATTTTAATAATTCAACAAATTTGACGCTTCTAATTTATTATATATACAAATTATCGATTGTACTTTACTTGGAAAAAATCTTGTTTAAAAGTGTTACAGAAACTATAGAATAATATCGGTTTATTTTTCTAGGTTAAAATATTATGCTAATGAGTTCATAGTAATTTAGAATGCAAAAAACATTTTCAGATTTTTAAATCTATACTAATTTTGTATCCCTTTTTCAAAATAATTTTTTATTATTTAATTTTTTGTCAATATACATTTTTTCGCTTTTGTTCTTTAAAATAAAAATGTGTTATTTATTTCTTGTATTAATTTTATTCATTTTATTATATTTATATTTATTTATTGTATATTATTTTAAATAATTAGAATAAGTAAAATATTGTTTAATAATTTTTTCTTATTTTTGCAGACTTTCTGTACAGGTTTAGTATGTACAAAAGAAAAGTAACCAGTGAAAGACAATTCAACAACGTGGATTACACGCAGTTAACCGAAACCGATAATGGTTTCGTTGATTCTCAAGTATGTAATGAAAAAAAGAAGATAAGATTAGAGAAAAATATTTTAAATTGTAGAAAATAATTATGACTGAATAATATAATTTAATGATGAGGGAAATCCTTTTTTCTCCTCGTATTTTGCTAAATATAAATAAGATAAAAATCAGTAAACATGAGAAAACCTTTGCTTGGAAAAAAATGTTATCATTTTCTCTAAAATTCCGTAAAACAAAAATATTTCTAATTATTTTTTCTAAAATATTAAAATTCCTTAAAACAATTAAATTATTTTTACAAATTTTTAATAAAATTCTATTATTTTTATAAATAATATAATTCTTCATGGGAATTTAATTATTTTAAGACAATTTAAATAGAATTCCTCGAAAGAATTAATTTAATTAACTAATTATTATTCTAATAAAAAATGCAATTTTTTCAGTTTGTTCAACCTCCGGTTAAAATACCTTGGAAGGCGATAATTTTAGCAGCTATGCTTTTTATCGGAGGAACTGTTATGCTAGTCATGGGCAGTTTAATTGTCAGTGGTCATATAGATACTAAGGTAATTTTCGAAATTTAAAACAATTCTTGACTATTATTACTATTAAAATTATGAAAAAAAAACTATCTATTAATTTTTTTTCTCGAATTCTATTAAAATTGTAAAAAATATTTTTTTTTAAATAATAAAAGAAGGGAATATTTTCTGTTACAGTATTCGGACAGGATGTGGCCTTTAATAATCTTAGGGGCCTTAATGTTTATACCAGGTGCTTATCATGTGAGAGTAGCAATATTGGCTTATCGCAAAGTTCCAGGCTATTCATTCGACGATATTCCTGAATTTGAATAATTAAAATAGATAATATTTTCGTGTAAATACTGTTTCGAAAAAAATATATATAATATATTGACTGTCATTATTTTTCGAAAAAAAAGAACAAATCCTAAATAATAATGTCCGACACAGAAAATAAAACTGTAAATGTACTTATTTTTTATTATAAGCTCTTACTTTTACAAATTGTTTTGTACTTTTTATAAGTGCACTATTTATTAGCAATTAATTTCCTTTTTGCCTCTACAAATGAAAAATTGTTTACGATTATAAAAGAAAAAATTTGTAAAATTTTTTATCGATGCTAAAAAGCTATTTTATTAATGTACAATAGTTTTTCTATATTGGATTTGGAAAAAAAAATAAAAATCACACAACAGAAAATATTTTAAAGAAAAATTTTTATATAAAACGCGTTAAGTTAATTTGTACACTGTATTTTTTTGTAATTTATAATTAAAGTATATCTACTTGTCAAATTTCTCATGGACATTACATTTTTTTTCGCAGTTAATTTCTCATTTCGTTCTATTCATAAAATTTTATTAAATTGCGAATAAACAGTATTATTATTAATGTCCCTTAAAGTTACTGGAATGTCAAAAAAATAAATTACTTTAAAACAAAACAAAATAATTACGAAAAATTCCTTTTTGGCAAATAAAGCTTTCAATCGTCTCAACATTTAAAAAGTAATTATGATTTTCCTTTAAAATCATAGAAATAAAACATTTCTTTCCCAATTACACAAATTTCGATTTTGTGTAAAGAAAATTTTTTTGAGAATTCGTTAATTTTAAAAATAAGGAAATATTAAAATTATAATATATAGCAAGCAGCTTTGATTTTTTTTCGTTCTTTTTTTTTTGATTTTTAAAATATAATTTAACGACTAAGAAAGCTTTATATCACAAATGTTTGTACAGACTTAGCATCGCTTTTGATTTTTTTTTCTTTGGCTAATATCGTACACAATATCAATAAGGAACTCAAATATAAAACAAACAAAAAAAATAATATTTAAAATAACATGAACTACTCGGTTACTAACTATTTTCCATTCAAAAAAAAAAAATATGTCAGTGCAATTTTTTAAATTGCGCTGAAATTTATACAGACAAAAGTTTCGATACAAAAATACATCACGATTTTTTTTAAATATCGTGCAAAAAATAACGACTTTTTTTTAAAGGTCTAATATCATTTGAATATTAATTATTAATGTTACCTGACTTCAAAAATGCCACGAGACTTTCACCGTTTATTTTACAAATTTTACCTTGTTCCCTCTTTATCAATCTTATTGGCGGATCAAATCTTGTTTCCAAGATATTTTTCAACATTTCTTTGCTCAATTTTAGTTTCTTCTCGGAAGTCTTTTTATTTTGATTGGAAATATTATTTAATAATTCTCTCCTCGAAGGTATTGACTGAAAAAATTAAGGAATAAATGAATAATTATGATAATAAATAAAATAAATAATACGAGATTGCCACAAGAATTTAATTTTGTTTCTCCATGATTTCAAGACAAAATTTTGACTTTTACCCATAAACCAAAAGAATATTCTGATTCACTCTAAAAATTATTAGATACTCGAAAAAATTTCCTGCTACATTTATTTACGAATTTCTGCAATTGTAAAATGATTCGAAAAAATTAATAACTTTTACTCTAAATAAATAATTTAATCATTATTATTTTTTTTAAATAATTGAATTCTCTCAAGAAATTTTATTAAAATTGTATTAAAAATAATTAAATTCCAATGAAGAATTTTATTATTTAGGAAAATAATTGAAAATCTGCAAAGAATTTTATTGTTTTGGAAATAATTTAATTTTTTTCAGAAATTTTATTAAAATTCTACTCAAAATAATTGAATTGCTTTGAAGAATTTTATTATTTACGAAAATAATTGAAATCTTGCAAAGAAATTTATTATTTATAGAAATAATTGAATTCTTTTGAGAAATTTTCTTAAATGTTTCGAAAATAATTGAATTTTTGAGATATTTTATTAGAATTTTACTAAAAGTAATTGAATTCTTGAGAAGAACTTTATTAAAATTTTTGAAAAAAATATGGAATTGTTTGGAAGAGTTTTTGTAATTTTTTCTAAAAATCGTAAATTCAATTATTTCTAAGAATTCAAGCTATAATGCTTTTAATATTCAATTATTATTTTAAGTTTTAATTGAAATTCATTTTTAAATCAATTTTCATTAGAAAATTTTACGGGAATTCAATTATTTCAATACAAAAATAAATAATTTATTGAATAATAGAATATTTCTTAAAATTAAGTTCTTATAAAGAACTTTATCAAAATTTTTTTTTTAAATAATTACAATTTTTCGAGGAATTCGATTAAAATTGTATTAAAAATAATTGAAATTATGAGATGAGTGTTATTATTTATAAAAATAATTAAATTATTGCGAAGAAATTTGTAAAAAATTTGTAAATAATTGAATTTCTGTGAAATTTTTATTAATTACGAAAATAATGGAACTATTGCGAAGAAATTTATTAAAAAAATCGTAAATAATTAAATTCCTTTGAAATTATTATTATTTATGAAAATAATTGAATGTTTGCGAAGAATTTTATTAAACAATTTTTTTTAAATATTTGAATTCTTTTGGAAAATTTAATTAAAATAGTAGATTTTGATAATCATTGAATTCAGGAAAATTTTTAAAATTAATTGAATTGTTTAGGAGAATTTTATGGAAATTTATGAAAATAATTTAACGCTTTTAAGAAATAAAATTCAAAATTGAGTTGAAAATGATTAAAAAATCGTATAAAAAGATTTTATTAAATTTTTTTTAAATAATTGAATTCTTTCGAGAAATTTTATTAAAATTCATTAAATAATTTTATCATAGTTCTCGAAGAATTAAGTTATTTTAAAAGAAATTATTGTCGGAAATAGAAAAAATTGAAGGTTTTGTATTAGAATTTGTGATAATTTCAACTTATTATGAATCAAACAAAAAAGACACAAAGATTAGAATTTTCTTATAAATTATATAATTTTAATTTTTTCCAATACTTTTAAGAAACTTTTCCTTGAATTCCCTGATCTGTGGCAACCCTGTTATAGTTATAATTTTAAAGAGAAATTTTCTTTTCTCACTTACTTCAAATATAAAAAAAGCCGATAGCTGCCTATTTCCAATACGCGATATGGCAAAACCAGCTTCCAATGAGAGTTTACGTAGAAACTCCGAAATTACCAAGTACATTTCTTCTTCGGTCCAATCGACATTTGCTATCACATTCATTACAGGATAATCCTGAAAAATAATTAAAAGCATTTAACAATTAAATATGATTTAAATAAATATTTTTTAACGTAAAAATTCAATTTTTGAAAAGAAAAAGTATTACTAAAGTTTTGAACGTTCAAATAAAGGACGATATTTTTTTTATCACTTCATAATTTGTATTTTAGTAACAAAAAAATTTTACTTACTAAAAATATTAAATACTAACCAAGTAAATATTATTTTTACATTCTTTTCTTTTCAAGTATAGTAATTTTTATGAATATTTAAACAGAGAAGAATTTTTCGTTCAATTAAACATTCAAAACTTTAGAGAAATAAGAAAAAAAAAGAAAAAGTAAATTTACAAAATTTACATTTAATATATGTATTAAAACAAAAAAAATAATTATTACTATTGCCGTCGGGTAAACACCGAGGAATGTAGCGTACTGAAAAAATTGTCTCGCTAAATCAATATCAACTGGTACTAATGAAGTGATCACAGCTCGATAAGTAATTTCGTGAAAATTCAAATGATATCTCATTGCTTTTTTGCATAAATTAATTACGCAGTCCGTACGATCTTGAGAGATTAATGACAGCATTAGTCTATCAACTAGTCGTGTGAGATCTGAAAACAGAGAAGAAATTCAAGAATTAAAAAGAAATTAAAGAATAAAATTTAATAAATTAAAAAGAGATGAGTGAAAATTAATAAAAAATGTACTCGAAAAAAAAGAGAAAGAAAGAAAATTGGAAAAGAGTAGAAATTCATAAAATGAAAAAATAGAATTCAAATTGAATTTTTAATTTGAAAAGAGAGTGAAAATCAAATAAAATGAAAAAAAGAATTAATAAATTGTAAAAAAGAATGAAAGACTAGAAAAATTTATTAAATTGGAAAAAGACACAAAAATTCATAAAATGGAAAAAATGTAATTTACTTAATTGGAGAAAGAGTAAAAATCGATAAAATGAAAAAAATAAAATTTAGTAAATTGAAAAGAGTATAAAAAAATAATATAATAATATATAGTATAATAAAATGAAATAAATAAAATTTTATAGATTGGAAAAAGAATAAAAATTAATAAATTGAAAAAAAAGTGAAAATTAATAAACTGAAGAAAACAAAATTTAAAAAATTAAAAGAAAAGCTAAAATTAATGAATTTAAATAAAAATTTTGAAGTTTGACAATTTTTACATACTTATTGGAAAAGCATTTGAAGATTGTTCACCGAGTATTAAATCAAAAATGAAAAAAGCCTCCTGTGCGTGATTTTGACACAACGACTCCAACAAAAGTGTCACCACCGAAACTCGGAGTCCCATATCTTCCTTTCTACTCTTCACTTTCCATCTCGTGCAATTAGTAAAAATTATATTACTCTCTGAAATATTCAAAATTTACATTTTTTACAATTGTAAAGAGCAAATTTACTGACATTTTAGAATATCAAAATAAAAAAAAATTAAAAATTTTTTTTTTAATTTTCAATTATTTAAAAGAAATAAAATTAGAAAAATTAAAAAATTCAATTTATTAATTATTTAAATATTAAATAAACATCAAAATTATTGCCAATTCCCGCTAATTATTAATAAATAAAAGATAAAATTAAATTTCTAAATTTACAAATATTTTTTAAAAAATTAACAAACAAAAACTAAAACTAAAAAAAAGCTTTTTAAATTTATAAGTATTTTTAGGGAATTTTTGAATAAAAAGAAAAATTATTCCTAATTACTGCTTATTATTATAATTATGCCCGTACAGTGTTTAAATAAATAAAATAAATAAATTAGATGCAATAAAAAAATTCTTAATATTAGTTTTTAAATATATTTTTAAATAATTTCTATAAAATTTCTATGAAAACTATTTTTAAGAATTTTTTTATTATAATTATAATAATTAACTGTAATTAACAATATCTTTTAAAAAATTTTGAAGTTTTCCAAATAATTGAGTAAAATCTTTTAAAATTAATTGAATTTTTCTAAAAGAATTTTTGAAAAATATTAAAAAATAGTCATTTTTAAAGATTTCTAATTACAAATAAGAAAATAAATGAGATTTCTTCACATTTTAATGATAAGTCCAAAAAGTATATTTATTAAAAATTCTAATTCTACTTTTTTTCAAGATAATTGAATTATTAAAAGTTATGATAAAAAATTCTAAAAATTAGTTTTTTAGATTGAAATTTATTAAAATTTTTGAAAATAATTGAATTCTTGAGAAATTTGATTAGAATTTTACTAAAAATAATTGAATTCTTGAGAAGAATTTTATTAAAATTTTTGAAAAAAAATTGAATTGTTTGGAAGACTTTTACAACACTTTTTTTTAAAAACTTAAATTGATTTGAAAAATGTTATTAAAATTTTTGAAAATAATTAAATTCTTTTGTAGAATTTCATTAAAAATTTTTTTTAATTATTTAAAGTCTTTGAAGAAATTTAGTTAAAAATTTGTTGAGAACAAAATTAAATTCCAAAAAACAAATTTTATCAACATTGTTTATGAAAATAATTGAATTTTGGCGAATAATTTTATTAAAATTTTCGATAATAATTTAATTGCTTTCTAAATTTTATCAAAGTTATGATAAAAAATTCTAAAAATTAGTTTTTTAGAAATATTATTGTATTCTAAATTTTTGAATGTACTTAAATTACTTAAAAAAAATAACAAAAATTTTAATTAAAAGTTTAGAAAATAATTGAATTGCTTCGAAGAATTTTATAAAAAATTTTAGTAAAAACTTCAATTGCTTTGAAAAATGTTATTAAAACTTTTGAAAATAATTAAATTGTTTTGTAGAATTTCACTTTTTTTAAAAAATAATTTAATTCTTTGAAGAAGTTTAGTTAAAAATTTATTGAAAAGAATTAAATTCCAAAAAACAAATTTTATCAAAATTTATGAAATTAATTAGATTCTTTTCATAAATTTTATTGAAATTGTTTTGAAAATAGTTGGATTCTGACGAGTAATTTTATTACAATTTTCGAAAATAATTGAATTACTTCGAAGAATTTTATTATTTACAAAAATCATTGAAATCGTGAAAAGAATTTTATTATGTATGGAAATAATTGAATTTTTTTCAAGAAAGTTTATTATAATTGAATTCTTAAGCATTTTTATTAAAAATTTTGAAAAAAAATTCAATTGTTTTAAAGAGTTTTATTAAAATTTTCGAAAAAACTTCAGTTGCTTTAAAAATTATATTTTTAAAAAAATATTTTAATATGTAATTATTTTTTGTAGATATTTGAATTTTAGGAATTGAGAAGTTGAAGAAAGAATATTGAAAATAATTGAATTTAAAAAAAATATAATGAAGAAATTCTGAAATTTACTTTTTTACAAAATATTTCAATATATAATTTTTTTGGAGATAATTTTCATTGATTTTCATTTGAAGATTTTTCATTAAAATTTCTGTGAATTTAATTACTATTCAAATTTGTAATTAAATTATCTAAAATTTGTTTTTCCCAAATTTGAATGAAATTTTTAAAAAAAATCAATTATTTTCAATACAATTTTACAAAATTTGAAAAAATGAAGTTTAAGTTAAATTAAGTTAAAAGAATTAAGTTTGAAAAAAGTATTTTAATTATTTTTGAACAGAAAATTAAAAGAAAAAATAAATACTTTCATTTGTTAATAAACAAAAATCGATAAAAATTATCAAAAAGAGAAAAAGATTTGAACTTTATTAATGGAAATTTACCTCGTAATAACCAGAAAGCCTCTGAAAGTAGCTGATTAGCTAAATAAATTTCAGCCGCAAGTAGTGTTAATCCAGCGTTATTATTGTACAGTTCATATTTTTGCAGCGTCTTAAGAAGTTCATTTGCGTAAATCCAAAGTTCCCGATCAGCTAATTCAATCAAGACATTTGTTCCTAGCCGTGACAAAATATCTCGCATCTTGGATAGTTCTCCATCTTGGACTGAAATGTCCAAAAAGAGAAAAAATTAGGTTCAATAAATAAAAACAACCAAATCATTTTAATTTTTTAAAGTAACATTTATTACGTGAATTTCATTTTTTTTCTTGTGTAACTAATATACATGTTTTTGTTTTGTTTTGTTTTTGGTTTAAGTGCATAACATTACAAGTGAATTTCATTATTTGAGAAGAATAATTATTTACATAAAAATTAACACGACGTAAAATGTATTTGTAAAAAGTACGTAGCCTTTAAGATACATAATTTCTCATCTTACTTATTATTGTGAAGACAGTCGGCAACAATTCTTTTTTTCTTCTTTTTAGAAATCAAAGTTTTCTTACTCAACCAAACAAAAATTATGTACTCAAAAAAAACTATAATAATAATAATAATAATAATAATTATTTTAATTTTTTGTAAAAATACTGGGAAATTTATTGCATAAAATATAAAAACAATTAACAAAATATGTATATGATATACATTAAAGTTAAGAGGCCGTGAATATAAAAAAAAAATTTTTTCTTTTTATATATAAAATAAAATAAAATTTTCTGAACATTTTCAAAGAAACGTGAAAAATTGTACAATAAAATTTTTAAAATAAAAATATAATTGAATGATTCTTTTCTAATCTAATATTCTATGTAAATAGTCATTATTTATTTTCAATATATAATTAAATATTTCTTTTTACTATTTTAATCTCTTTAGATTGTCATTGAATATGTATAACTAATTTTATATTTATATTTATATTCTATATTCTAAAACTAAATTTTTTAAACCTAATATTTAGATTTTGGAATTTTTTTGCTGAGATAAAAGAATTTTTCTAATTTGAAAAAAAATTTGTCAATTCAAAATTATATTGAAATTTAAGAAACACTGTTTCTTTCCGTTTGTTTCGTATAAGCATTAAAAAACGATATTTTTTCTACTCAGTTAATTTTCAATTCAATAAAAAGAAAACATCATTTTCAAAATGATTTGTGGAATAAAAAATAATAAAATCTTGCCGTAATTAAATTTTGTTTCCTCAATTTTTTTTTTGTCTAAGATTTTACAAACAATTCTCACAGAGAATTTACTTTTAAAAATATATGCAAATTATTCAGAAAGTAAAAGAAATGATGAAAAAAAATTTTCTGTTCATGGAAAAGTGGTAGAAATTTTTCCAAAATTAAAAAAAATTTATAAAAGTAGGAAAAAATTAATTAAACATCGCAGTTTACGATTTAAACATCCCATTTTCTTTTCATACTTTCTGAATAATTTGTATATTAAAAGAAACTTTTCAGAAAATAGAATTGGTTTTTTTTAATATAATTTCTTTTTGTGAATTATAAAGTAAACGATATTTATATTTTTAATTCAAAGAAAAAGAATGAAATATCTATTTTGTTTTCGTTAATCCAGAAAGCATTTCTTTCTGTTTTTTTTCTGTTAATTCCACTGTTTGATAAGTCCAATCTTCTCGAGTTGGAAGTGAAGAAAATGATATTGTAGGAAATACTATATCATAATTATAATTTAGTATATTATCCTTTTCCTTATCTTTATCCTTAAGCTTACCTGCAGCTTTGATGACATTTTCAACGTGCGTTTGAGATTTATTTATTTCTTCGCATAATATTCGATGACAATGTCGAGTGAATGGACTTCTCTCCTTTGAATATTGTAGAATAATATGGACAACGTGATCATAATCCCTGTGTTGAAGACCTCGTTTCATACTTTCAAGACGATCATAAAACTTCCACAAATTATCTTTGTCTCTATAAACAGATTTTGGCGGTGGAACATTCTCTAGAATGGAAAAATTAATTTCAAATTAAAATTACAGAATTTCATTAAATAAACCAAATTAACTAAATATAAACGAATAAAGTAATAATTTAAAAATTATTACTTTAGTTTATACACAAAAATTTAATTTTGTTTTTCCCTGAATTAAGATTTTCAAATTCCAACCTTTTGAAATTTAATAATAATTTATAAGAATATTATTAAATCAAATTATTTAAATCAATTATTTTTAATAATTTTCGAAAAAGTTCTTTGATAATTTTAAAATCCATTTGTTTACAATTCAATTTTTAAAATAAAAACTTTGAATAATTTCAAAGAAAATTTCATTACCTACACTTTATCAAAAAAAAAAAATTCTATACCGTATTGTTAGTTAAAATAATAAAAAATTCAGATTATCAAAGATTTCAATTTGAAACAAAACTTTTCAAAATTCAAGAAATAATAATTTTAATATTCAAAATAATTGAATTGCTTCGAAGAATTTGATTATTTAGGAAAATAATTGAAATCCTGCAAAGAATATTATTATTTATGAAAATAATTGAATTTTTTTGAGAAATTTTCTTAAAATTTTGCTCAAAATAATTGAATTACTTCAAAGAATTTTATTATTTACGAAAATAATTGAAATCTTGCAAAGAAATTTATTATTTATAAAAATAATAGAATTCTTTCGAGAAATTTTCTTAAATTTTTCGAAAATAATGGAATTTTTGAGAAATTTTATTAGAATTTTACTAAAAAATAATTGAATTCTTGAGAAGAATTTTATTAAAATTTTTGAAAAAAATTGTGCGAATTGTTTCGAAGAGTTTTACTAATTTTTTTTAAAATCTTAAATTCAATTATTTCTAAGAATTCAAGCTATAATAATTTTAATATTCAATTATTATCTTAAATTTTAACTAAAATTCATTTTTAAATTAATTTACATTAGAAAATTCTACGGAATTCAATTATTTCAATACAAATATAAATAATTTATTGAATCATGGAATATTTCTTAACATTAAATTCCTATGAAGAACTTTATCAAATTTTTTAAAAATAATTACAATTTTTCGAGGAATTCGATTGAAATTGTATTAAAAATAATTGGAATTTTGAGATGAGTTTTATTATTTATGAAAGTAATTTAATTATTGCGAAGAAATTTATAAAAAATTTGTTAATAATTGGATTTCTGTAAAATTTTTATTAATTATGAAAATAATGGAATTATTGCGAAGAAATTTATAAAAAAAAATCGTAAATAATTGAATTCTTGTGAAATTTTTATTATTTACGAAAATAATTGAATGTTTGCGTAGAATTTTATTAAAATATTTTTTAAATAATTGAATTCTTTTGAAAAATTTAATTAAAATAATAGATATTGAAAATCATCGAATACAGGAAAATTTTTGAAAATAATTGAATTGTTTAGGAAAATTTTATGGAAATTTATGAAAGTAATACAACGCTTTCAAGTAATAAAATTCAAAATTGAATGGAAAATAATTGAATTCGTATAAAATGATTCTATAAAATTTTGTTTAAATAATTGAATTCTTTCGAGAAATTTTATTAAAATTGTGTTTTGGAAATAATTTAATTCCTCTCAAGAATTTTATTATTCTTGAAAATAATTGAATTGTTTCGTAGAATTTTATTAAAACTTTGGAAAATAATAAATAAAAATATTTAATTAGCCAATTAGTAATTTAAGTAAATTTCTTCTAATTTTGAATCTGAAATTATTGAAAAATATTCAAGTTTGATATTTGAAAATAAATAAATTTGCAATTTGAAATTTCATTGAAATTATATTCCAAATAATTGAATTCCCACAAAGAATTATATTATTTATAAAATTAATTGTATTCCTGCAAAGAATTTAATTCTTTTAAAGGAATATTTTATTAACATTCTATTCAAATTAGTTGATAGGTGAATTTTTTTAAAACTTTGATTCTTAAATTATTCAAAAACTACCATAACTATTGAAATTGATATCTAAAAATAGAAAAATTTCTAATTTGCACAATAATAATGTATTTAAAATTTTAATTTCAAACAGAAGAAATGAAATTAAAATTACTTACCAATACGACGCGCAAAAGAAGAACTTGGTACACTGTCATTTTGAAGATTTGGCGGATTATCATTTTGGAAATTTATCGAATTGTCATTTTGAAGATTTGGTGGAATTTCATCTTGAACATTTGGCGGAATTTCATTTTGAATATTCGGAAGAATTTCATTTTGAAAATTTGCCAAATTCTGAACGTCTTCAAACTTCTGAAGAATTGGTGGTTCAACGGGATTTTGAATAGGACTCTGAAATGTAGGATCAGGTGATGCTATATCATTATTAACAATATCCATGGCATCATCAATATCTAAATTTTCCTCAACTGCAAAATTTTCAGTTAAACGCATATAAATGAGATTATAGAAGGAGAACCACAATTCTTCTTTTACTCTTTCATTCAAGTGTTTTTCAATGAACACCTGATAAACTTCAGTTATACGCTCGATATTTGTATTTTCATTTAAACATTGAAGCAAAATTTTTTCAAGCATAAAATTTGTTAATACCGTTGTGCGAATTACAAAACGCATCGATTCCCAATATTCAAATGTTGTTGCTTTTTTATCGATAATTTCTGGTAGTTTCTGTAATAAAGGATGTACTATTTGAAACTTTTCAGAAATGTCTTGAATTACTTTTGGTAGTGGCACCAATTTTTGCCGTAAAAATTCAACTGTCTCCTCCAAAAGTTGAGGGTCCATCCAATTTTTAATTAGCATTGTTTGAAAAAATTGCATGCCATTAGGGTAACTAAATTTTTGCAGAAAATTTCCGTAAGCCTTTTTGAGATAGAAAAAAAATCTTTTTGACATACAATCACACATCATATTGTATAATGTCGTTTCAGGAACGTTTTGAAAGAATTTATTACTATCTGGAATCTGTAACAATAAATTAAAAAAATATATTTAAATTGTGAGAAAAATTATTACTGAACGAATAGAAGTAAAATGTAAAATTATTTAAAATCTTTAAATAAATTTTGTTTCTTAAAATTCAATTAACATATAAGAAAAACAAAATTAATTGAATTTCATTTATTGAAATAACAATTTAAGCGTTAAAATTTTAACAATGAATCTAATCTAATAATAAAATATGGCTTTATAAGAAAGAAAAATTTGGATCATTTGAGAATAGAATAAAATTTAAATAAAATTGAAATATTTAATAAATTGTAATTTAAATAGAATTAAAGTTTAAACAAATTGCAATTGAGATAAAATTGAAATTTAGATAAATTGTAATTAAGACAGAATTAAAATTTAAGTAGGGATGAGTTCGTCAGCGTTCAGTTTGAAATCAAGTGGAGGGGTTATTTCTGAGGTACCGTGCAGTTCTGCGGCCCGACTGTAAATTAAAAAATTTGGACAAAATTTAAATATTTGAATACTACGGAGAAATTTTATAAAATGTTTCTTTCTAAAATAATTGAATACCTGCGACAATTTTTATTATTCGTGAAAATAATTGAATTCTTTCGAGACATTTTCTTAAATATTTCGAATATAATTGAATTTTTAAGAAATTTTATTAGAATTTTACTAAAAATAAATGAATTTCTTCGAAGAACTATATTATTTACGAAAATAATTGAAATCTTGCAAAGAAATTTATTACTTATAGAAATAATTGAATTCTTTCGAGAAATTTTCTTAAAATTTTCGAAAATAATTGAAATTTTACTCAATATAATTGAATTCCATCAAGAAATTTTATTAAAATTCTACTCAAAGGAATTGAATTTTTGAAAAATTTTATTAGAATTGAATTGTTATGTAGAATTTTATTAAAATTTTTTTTCTAAATACCTTATTAAATTCTTTTAAGAAATTATGTTAAAAATTTATTGAAAATAATTAAATTCGAATAAAAAAACTTTATCACAATTTTTTAAAATAACTGAATTCTTTCGACAAATTTTATTTAAAATATATTCAAATTAATTGAATTCTTCCGAGAAACTTTATTAAAATTCAATTTAAAATAATTGAATTCTTTTGGGAAATTTTATTAAAATTATATTCAAAGTAAAAAATATTCTTCGAAGAAACATAATTATTTTTAAAAATTTCCCGAAAAATGTATTGAAAATAATTGAATTCCTGAGAATAGTTTTATTGTTGATAAAAATAATTGATATTTGTCAAATTTTTTAAAAAAATAATTCTATTATTTCGAAGAATTTTATTATTTACGAAAATAATTGAATTCTGGCGAATAATTTTATTAAAATTGTATTGAAAATAATTGAATTGATAAATATTGCAATTTAGAATATTTATATAGAATTGAAATTCTTTTAAATAGAAATTTAAACACATTAAAATTTGGTTAAAATATATTTTGAGTAGACAAACATTTGGTAAAAATAATTTTTTGATTAATTAAAATATAAAGGAATTTAAATTGCTCATGGCAAATTTAAATTCTATAATATAATATAAATAAATTGAATTATTTAAAGAAAAGTAGTTACCTCGTGTTTAAAGAGACACACATGCCTGGTACAATTTCCATGAATCAAAAAGATGTGACAAGTGCCATAAAATATTTTCGATAAATCGTAGTTTTGTTCTAAATTTCCACTAGTACTATTCAAGTTTGATGGTACGGCAATTTTACTTGTGAAATTAGTGGCATTCTTATGAAACGTTGGTACTTCGACTTTGCTTGTGGCATTAGTAACATTATTGTTTGAATTTGATGCCACTTGAATATTATTTCTGACGATATTGACTCGAGAATTATCATTCGTTGGTGCTTCAATTTTAGTTCGAACATTATTAATTTTTGCATCAGCAGCATTCGATGTTGACGGTGGTTCAATTCTACTTCTAACATTATTTACTCGATTATTAGAATTTACACTTCTCACTGGTTTCGTGAATAAATCCTCTGGATTTATTCTGCTCTCAACTTGTCTCCCATTGGTTCCGTTTTCCTGATTTTTTTCCTGTCGACTTCGATCCAGATATGATCTCAAATCAAAGTCACAATCGACATCGTTTTTTCGCTTAAACGCGTCCCAATATGATTCATCGATGTTGGAACAATCGCTCTGAGTTGTCGTTCTATTTTCAAATAGTGGAGTGTCACATCTGGAAAAATAAAATTTATTATTTGGTAATCAAAGTTTAAATATTTTTTTTGTTTATTTTAAGAAGATAATAATGTCGATGTGATTTTTGCACAGAGCTCGCATCGGCTTTGAGATCTCCTTAATGTTTTAATAATATACAGGCCTCGGATCGACTATAACGTATGAAAAAAGACGCTTCAGTCAATTAAAAATAAAATAAAAGCCGAAAAAGTTAATTTTATTTCAGTATTGTAGTTTGTTTTTTGTATTTCTTAAACCTTTCACTGATTTCTGAATTCAATTACTCAAATTTTCATTAACTTTGTTAAATAAATATTTAAATACCAAAACTCAATTATTTTTAACAATTTTCTACTAAATTTCTTCTCTAAATCAATTATTTTGAATAATTATCTGCTCTTCAAAAATTTAATTATTTAAAACTCAAGTATTTTTTATATTTTTAATTACATATTTCAATTATGAAAATTAAATTTTTTATAATATTGTAACTGCAACTCTTTGTGATTTTTTTTAAGATGAACTATTGAAAATATGTAACTGAAAATGTTGAAAATAATTGATTTTAAAAAATTATAATAAAAAGTTTATTGAAATTAGTTTATTAAAAATATTCAAAATAATTTTCGGGAAAAAATTAAAAAGTAAAATTTTCAAAGAATTTTAATAACAAATACGTTTTTGAAAATAAATGATTTTTAAAAAATTAGATATAGTAAAAACTTCTAAGAATTACTTTTTTAAAAAAAAATTTTGAATATAACTTTTTCAACGTAATTTTTATTAATTTTGGTTAAAAATTTCTTTTACATCAACATTTTTGAGAATTTAATTATTTTCAAAATTTGTTTTTAAAAATTTGAATGAAATAATTTAAAAAATTAATTACTTTCACTAAAATTAAAAAAAATAAAACTTCAATTATTTAAAAACTTTTTAATTGCATATTTTTAACATTTAATTATTTTAAAAAATTATTTCAAAAATAATTATTGACAAATTTGATTAATTATTTTTTATACTATAAAAATTGAAACAAGTTGTATTTTATACGAAAAAAATGATATTTTCTTGCAATAATCAAAAGAAAAATCGAAAAAGGCGCAAAACTTTTTAAATTCGTTTTTTAAAAATTTACCTAAAAAATAATATTTAAATACTTAAAAAAATTAATTATTTTTAATAAAATTTTACAAAATTTCGATTAGAGGCTACGTACTCGCTAATTAATTTTAAAAAATTAGCAAAAACGTATTTTTAAGACTGAAAGAAGTAGTAAAAAAAGTAGATTTCGAAAAATTAAATTTGACTACTCAATTTTTCTATAACTTTTCTAATATTCAATTGAGGGGCTGGATGCTATAATGTGTTACGCGCCATGTTAAGTGAATGGCGCGTAACACATTATAGCATCCAGCCCCTCAATTATTATCTAAAATTTTAACTGAAATTCAATTAAAAATAAATTCTTATTAGAAAGTTCTACGAGAATTCAATTATTTAAAAATAAAAATCAATAATTTATTGAATAATTGAAATATTTCTTAAAATTGTATCTTCTCATAATTTATTTAAAATTGTATTAAAAATATTAAAAATTCTGCGATGAGTTTTATTATTTGATTTTTAAAAGTAATTACTTTCCTAAGAAGAACTTTATTTTATTTATAAAAATAATTGAATTCTTGCAAAGAATTTTATAAAAATCTTTTTAAATAATTGAATTTTTTCCTAAAAACTTTATGAAAATTGTATTTTAAAATTGAATTCCTGTGAATAATTTCATTGTTAATAAAAAAAAATTTATTTCTGGTGAATATTTTTATTAAAATTTTCGAAAATAATGGAATTCCTTCGAAGAATTTTATTATTTACGAAAATAATTGAATTCCTGCAAAGAATTCTATTATTATGTAAATAATTAAATTCTGGCGAATAATTTTATTATAATTGTATTGAAAATAATTGAATTGCTTGGCAATATTTTATTATTAATGAAAATAATTGAATTCCTGCAAAGAATTTCATTATTTATGGAAATAATTGAATTTCGGAAAAATTTGTGAAAATAATTGAATCAGTTGAAAGAATTATAAGTGATTTTTTGCTTGTTTTTAGTTGTTTTTCATACTATAAAAATTAAAAAAGTTGCATATTATATGAAAAGAGTGTTACTTTGTTGCAATATTTTGAAGAAAAGTAAAAAAAGTCGGAAAAAATTGTCTTTAAAAAAAAATAGTGAAAAAAGTCCAAAAAATCATACTAATCCGAGACTTGAATACATAATAATAAAAATAATAATAAGTTTTTGAAGAAAAGTGTAAAATTTCTTTCTTTTTAATGAATTACGAAATTATTTTCATCCTTAAGTGAAAAAAAATGGAAAAGCTTGCCTTGAAGATAATTCCATAAGCGATGGAGACGCGCAAAGTGAAATTGCGTCATCTTCCTTCTGATCATCATCCTTTTGATCATCAATATTTTGACCGCTTGTATTTAAACCTAATAGTTTATCATTATCAATGTTATCAATATCCGATTGAATGTGGCTCAATTCTCGTTGAAATCGTTGTTTTAAAAGACCGCATTTATCCTCAATAACCCTCTCATCATCCGATGCTGAATTCAATTTAATATCCTCATCCTCTGAACTGCTGTCACTCGGTAAAGAACTTGGTGAAAATTTCGAACTTCTAACTCTCCTCTTTTTTCGTATCAGTTCATTTTTACTTTCCACTCCCTCACCACAAGGCGAAGGACATTTACTAATCTCCTGAATTTGATTCAATTGAATAAATTCCTCTCGTTCGGGTTCTGGTTGCGGTTCCGGATCGACCCGCGATTCCTCAACGGCAACAATTTTTGGTTCAAATTGAATTTGTTTTTGAAATTGATCAACTTGATTGGAGAAAATTGTGTGCTCCTCAATTTCAATACTCTCGTGTTTAATTTCTATACTCTCGTGTTGTTTCATTTGTAAAATCTTGGTTATATTTTCGTTTGGTTTGTCGATAATTTCGCTTTGTAGTGTATTGAATGTTTCCAATTGATTTTGATAATTGTTGTTGTCATTTTCGCAGAAACTCGATAGACAGGAACTTGAGACTTCGGACGATGTGTCGGTGAAGTCATCACTTTCGTTACACGTTCTAGACCATCGACGTCTGTTGAGTTTAATTTTTTTCCCTGTTTCTGAACGATTTTTGCGATTTTCATTGCACCATTTTCGTTTTCGGGGATAAGTGACTTCTATCGTGTCATTAATTGGATATTTTTCTTGATTTTGAACTGGTTCCTTAAATTCACGATTGGAATTATCTAATTCAAAATTTGTATGATTTATCGTCATTGTAATTTCATTTGCCTTGTTGAGAAAATCGTTGACGCCTGTCGCTGGTATCAGACAAGTACGACCACTTGGATTGTGAAGTTGTAACATTTCGGCAGGCGGTCCGGTTGATAAAATTTCCTTGACATCGTGAAAATTTGGCGAAAGTTGTTGCTCGCCATTTTGTGACAATAATTTCTCATTATTATTGACAATATCGTTTTCGATAAAACCATCGCAATTTAAATTCAATAAATCATTGTTGGGATCGACGATACTTGAATTAACGAGAGCATTAACGTCCTGTGTTATTGGTAAATAATTATTTATCAAATCATCGGTAATAATGTTATTGTAATCATACGATTCCTGGCTCTGCGTTAATTCATCTTTGCGTAATTGTTCCAAATTTTGAATATTTATAACGGCGACTTTCTCCTGATCGCAAACTTTGTCAATTGCTTGGGATTTATTTGGAGAGAGATTCTCGTTTTTTATCATTGCTTTTGGTCGAGGTATAAGTTGAATACAATTTGTTGGTATCGTCTCGATATCCTTGATTTTAATATTCTTCCTTTGGGACGTTGTCTCATTTGTTTCCATTGTCAGACTTGTGTCGAGTGAGTCCATTATTTTCTCAAGTGACATCAATGGAAATTGAAAGTCGTCCATTAAAAAATCTTCCTTCTCAATATTCGATAGTGTCGATTCTTTGACATTACTCTCCGTATATGACAATTGATCGCCAAACGTGGTTCCCTCTCTCGCCAAATGAAAATCTGTAAAAAAAAATAACAAATCATTACTTATTGGGAATAAAAATTGAATCAATTAATCAATAAAATTAAGAATTGAAATTAGCAATCAAAATTAATACTCGGTTGCCACAGGAGTTTGATTTTGTTATTCCCCAACTTTTTCCTAATTTTCAGACAGAATTTTGATTCTTTTAATTTAAAACTTGAAGAACGTCGGCTTATTTAAAAAAAAAATAGTTATTGTACTTTTTTTGAAATAATAGAGGAAAGTACCTTTTCTCTTATTTAGAAAAAAAATCCAATAATAACAATTGAGAATAAAAATTAGAAATCACTATTTTTACTAAAATTAAATAAAATTCTTTAAAAAATTCAATTATTTTTAATACCGAAGTGTAGAAAATTTTCAATTATATTTAAAAATATTTCAATTCCGTGTTTCTAAAAATTCAATTATCTTTAAAAAAATAGATTTGAAATATTTTAAACACTAAATTCTTTAGAATATTAAATAAAATTTTTCGAAAATTCAATTTCAAAAAAGAGGTTTTTAATTTAAATCTTTTTAAAATTAACCACTTAATAAAAATTGTGATTCAAACCCTTTCGAAATATAATTATTTTAGGCGTAATTTGGAATATTTAATGAAAATCTTTACACAAATAAACAAGAATACATTCGTTTCTGTTTTTTTATAAAATTCCATTATTTATACCAATTATTGAATTAAAATTTTTGGAAAATTCAACTTTTTTTTATTTAATAATTGGTAAATTATTAAATTTTGTAAAATGTAAATTTGAATCATAATTTTTATTCAAAAATTATCTCAAATTAATTGAAATTTTGTACAATCGAAGTGAAAATCATTGAATTTTTTAAAGAATTTCATTTAAGACTTTAAAAAAAAATTGAATTTTCAAAGAATTTTCAAAATTAAATCTCTAATGAAATTTTTAAACAAATTCAATTATTTTCACTTCGATTATACAAAATTTCAATTAATTTTAGATAATTGAGTGCTTGGATACAACAAGGGGACGTACGCTCGGCGAGCCGCTTTAAAGTCAGTCAAAGGTACCGTAAAGTGTAAAAAATGAAAATTCAAAATTTTGAATTTTGAAAACTGCCATCTTATAGGAAATAAAAATGCGCATCTTTTTTTTCTTTGAAATTTCTTTGAATAATTAATATTTTTATATGATAATGGAAAAAATGTGATTAATTTTCAATGTTAAATTTCATTGAATTTTAAAATATAAATCGTCGTATCTCCGACAAAAATGAATGAATTCTTTTGATTTTTGGTATACAAATGCATTTGGACCTATAGAAGACGACAATATCACGAAAATGTTAAAAGCAATTAATTGTTTATTGATTTTTAATTGTTAATACTGACCGGTCAAAAATAATTTTTTCTTATCTTTGGCTGCAAAAAGTATGCGGGGAACTTTAAAATTCAAACAACTTCCAGTGAGACATTTGTTTATTACGATGTGAAGAAGTTTTCTGTAAAATTGCAGAAAGATTAGTTTTATATTTACAGAAATACAATAGTTTTAAGAAAAATGCTCGCGCCGCCAACGATCCCTACCGCACAGATTTTAAGGTTAGTTGCACGGTAAAGTTTTATTTATGTATAAATATATGTGTGTAATATTTGCATTGAATTATTTATTAACTATTACATACTATACAACATAGGTATACACTTTTTTAATAATTTTGTAAAATATTATGTGTATGAATAAAAATATTACAAATAATTCTAGCAATATTTAATTAAATTAAGATTATTTCTGATATTTATTTTTGTTAGTATATCGTTTATTTACAACTCAATTTTTATCGACTCTATAATGTATTAAAACTATTACTCAATATGCTGCAACAACACTTAATGTCCTTTTTAATTACATACTATGTTGAATCTAGTATAATCTAATAATATCTATTAAAATATAATAGTTCAAAATATCACAATTGTCAAAAATTGTTTAAAATAAAAATTTTTCCTAGTTTTTAAACAATAATATTAACATCTAAAAACGTTTTATAAATTTAATAATGTTTAAAATAAAAACATTTCTTTTAACACAGATATTAATCTTAATTTAATTAAATACTGCTAGAATTATTTGTAATATTTATATTCATACACATAATATTTTACAAAATTATTAAAAAAGTGTATACCTATGTTGTATAGTATGTAATAGTTAATAAATAATTCAATGCAAATATTACACACATATATTTATACATAAATAAAACTTTACCGTGCAACTAACCTTAAAATCTGTGCGGTAGGGATCGTTGGCGGCGCGAGCATTTTTCTTAAAACTATTGTATTTCTGTAAATATAAAACTAATCTTTCTGCAATTTTACAGAAAACTTCTTCACATCGTAATAAACAAATGTCTCACTGGAAGTTGTTTGAATTTTAAAGTTCCCCGCATACTTTTTGCAGCCAAAGATAAGAAAAAATTATTTTTGACCGGTCAGTATTAACAATTAAAAATCAATAAACAATTAATTGCTTTTAACATTTTCGTGATATTGTCGTCTTCTATAGGTCCAAATGCATTTGTATACCAAAAATCAAAAGAATTCATTCATTTTTGTCGGAGATACGACGATTTATATTTTAAAATTCAATGAAATTTAACATTGAAAATTAATCACATTTTTTCCATTATCATATAAAAATATTAATTATTCAAAGAAATTTCAAAGGAAAAAAAGATGCGCATTTTTATTTCCTATAAGATGGCAGTTTTCAAAATTCAAAATTTTGAATTTTCATTTTTTACACTTTACGGTACCTTTGACTGACTTTAAAGCGGCTCGCCGAGCGTACGTCCCCTTGTTGTATCCAAGCACTCAATTCTTTGATAAATTATTTTTTTTTAATTCAAATTTTATAAAATTTAATAATTTACTAATTATTAAATTAATATTCTTTGAAAATTCAATGGTTTTAAAACCTCTAATAAAATTTTTTAACAAATTCAATTTTTTTCATTTATTGGATTACACAAAATTTAAATTAATTACATAAATCTTTAATATTTTTTTTCAATTTAAAAATCACATTTTACAAAATTCAATTTTTTAACAATTATTAAATTATTATTAAATTTTCACTTCGATTGTACAAAATTTCAATTAATTTGAGATAATTCTTGAATAAAAATTTAAATTCAAAAAGCAAATTTTACAAATTTCAATTTTTTTTAACAATTATTAAATTAATATTCTTTGAAAATTAATTTTTTTAAAGTCTTCAATGAAATTCTTTAAAAAATTCAATGATTTTCACTTTGATTGTACAAAATTTCAATTAATTTCATAAATCTTTAATAACATTTTTTTTAAAAATTCAAAAATCAAATTTTGTAAAATTTGATTCTTTACGAATTATTAAATTAATATTCTTTGAAATTTCAATTTTTCTTAAAGTCTCAAATGAAATTTTTCAACAAATTTAATGGTTTTTCTCTTTAATTATGTAAAAGTTTAATTAATTTGGTTATTTCTTCATAACAATTTTTAAAAAACTCCAAAATTGAAATTTTATAAAATTCCATAATTTAAAAAAATAATTCAAAATATTCTTTGAAATTCAATTTTTTTTCATCTCTAATGAAATTCTGTAACAAATTTAATTTTTTTTTACTCCGTTTATACAAAATTAAAATTAATTTGATAAATCCTTAATAAAATTCCTTAATTATTTTTTAAATTGAATTAAAATTGCTTAGAAACTTATTTTTTCACAATTTCTAATAAAGATATTTAAAAATTGAATTAGTTTAAAAACTAATATTTAATTAAAATAATAATTTACTCTAAAAAAAACTTAGTTATTTAAAAAGTTATTCACAGGAATTAAAATTTCAAAAACTTGACTTAAAAATCTTTAATAATTCCATTATTTCTGAAAATTGCAACTGATTTTAAACTAAAATTTTGTTGAAGTCAATCCTAGAATTTAATTATTTAAAATAAATTTAATTATTTACGTAAATAACAAAATCAAGGTATTGTTTAAAAATTTATTCTAATTCTGAAGCTTTTAAAGTAAAAAAAATCAAGGAGATTTCAAGTTTTTTAAAATTTTTCAAAAGTTTTTTTGTGCACCAAAAGCCAGAATTTTTGTAGTAATTCTAGAAATTCTATATTTTTTCCAGTACTTTTGATTAAATTCCCTAACATTTTCCTGACCAATGTCATTTTCCCTGATTTTTCTCTAACCTGTGGCAACCCTGTAATAATAAAAATTAAGAATAATAATAAAAATTAGGAATGGAAACTAGGAATAAAAATAAAAATTTGGAATAAAAATTAATAAAAGTTAGGCACAAAATTTAATAATAAAAATTAGGAATGGAATTGAAAAACAAACTTGAGGAATAAAATTTTAAAATAAAAATTAGGAATAGAAAAAGTAGAAAAAGTATTAAAAATATCGTCTTTGAAATTAAAAATTTATATTAAAGTTTTTGAAATTAAAAATAAAAAATTACTAACATTGACTACAAGTATTTAGTAAAAGTAAAAATTTTAAAATACAGTGAACGTACCATTATTAGTAGAAGGCTGAGTGTTGCTCGTTGGAAAATTATATACATTTCCCTCTAATTTGATCTCAGATAGACATGTACCATTTTGGGGAATCCTCTCAAGTGATAAATTTCTGAAACTATCATCTAAATGATTAGTCGTCACTGTATTGCTAAATTGATGATTATTCATGAGAAAACTATTTTCTGTATATGAGACATTTGGAATTTCATTTTGATTGCTAGTACTTGTCTGTGCGACAATATTATTATTCTCTCTCAATTTCGAATAATTTTCCCCTCTACTTTCAGTTCGATTAACTTTCAATTCATTCTCCGAATAACTCAATGGACTTATATATTTCATATTGCACTGTGTATATAAACATTTTGTTTTCGATGTTGAATTAATATTGGGACCACTCGTTTTGGGAAAAGTTGACGCCTCCAACATTTGCGTTTGCAATGCTTCTGTAATTGCCGGGGCTTTTGGACAATTCGTGTTCAATTCACTTTTCGATAAATTACTCATGGATAAATTGGGAAAATATTCTGAACGTTTTCCTATTCGATTTTTAAATAGACTTGGAGTTTTAATGGAGGAATTTGAGGAAGAATTTGGCGATGGATTAAGAGTAGAATTTGTTTTAATTTGTTGTGATGAGGAATTTGATTTTTTTGTGAAAAGAACAAAACGAGATGATTGGTTCAGGGAAGTTTGACTATTTTCCGAACTACTTGAGGATAAACAAGTTTCTGTGCTTTCTTTCTTCTTGGAGATTTCGTTTTTTAATTTTTTTCGTTTTAACGTCGAATCTGGCGGTTTTTGACTTGAGTTTAATTTCGTTTTAAATATTGGTTGTGATCGGGAAATTTTCTTTGCGGAACTAGATTCCTTTTTTTTTTGTTTCTTTTTCTCATCGTCGGCGGGATTTGAGAATTCAATGCAACATACATCAGAACATGGAGTAACGCGCATTGGATCACGAGTGCAAACTTTTTGGATTTTTCGAAAACCACTGCCGCCATATTTTGCAAATTCCTCGTCTAAAGATCCTTCGGTACTGACAAAAGAGGCGGTGGAATTATTTTTTTTTAAACAATTTTGACTTCTCGATGCATCTTTGCATTTTGTTGATGTTTTTTGAGAACTTGGTTTGCTTCTTTTCGGAGATGATTGTGAATTGGAAATCTCTGAAACTAATTTATGTGCTAAAGTCTTCTTTGGTCCATGAGAAGTTTTCTCTTGTGATTTCAAGGAAAACCGGAGAGTTGACGACTTTGGGGTGTTGGGAATTGTGGAAATGTTACTCGGAAGTTTTTCTAAGAGAACAACCGGTTGTCTCTTTAAAATATCTTCGAATTTATTAAGAGACATTGTCTCCGAATCACTGGAATCCTTTCTCTTCATTTTCTTCTCATTTTTTCCTTGCGATTGTATAGGACTTCTGTGCTTTGCCATGGTGTGCGCAGTCTTCACTTATTAATGCGAATTTTTAAGCCACATTTGTCCCTTCAACAATTTGTTTTGAATAATTTATAAAAAAAATCACAAATTAAATTTAAAAATAAATAAATGTCAGCGAAATGAGTTATTTAAAAATGTAAAACACAAAAAACAACTAACAGAAACAATAATAAATAATCTATCTAAACAAATTTTTGTCATTTTTCCCGAAAAATTGGTTAATAGTAAATCAATTAAGTGATGAGTAATAACAAATATCAAGAATTCGTTGGTTAATAAATAGATTAATTGGGGAAATAAAAATTTATACAAGGGAAAACGAAAAATAAAAAAACTTCCTAAAACAAAGAAATAAAAATGCACCTGTCAATAAACTAACCTGTTTTTTTAACCAAAAAAAATAGGGTTTCATTTTATCAACACTAGGGTTTTATTAATTGGGACAAATTGAAAATGAAAATGTTATGATAAAATAATGTCAGTTGCCGAATTCTCAGAAGTCATAAATACCTTATCTTTTCATCAGAATGGAATTCGCTTCATGGCTACGCAGATTGGCTGATCCGATCCATTGTTCTCCCTCATGGGTCGTCTGCAAAATCCATGGAGAGAAAAAAGTATAGAAAATTTTCTTTTTCATTCAATCCAAATTACAAAAAATGTATTTTTAAACGTATAATTACGCAATAATAATAATCGCACAGCAAAAACTTACTGATGGCAAATCCAATACGTAAAAATACTGATTTTTCATCAGTCGAAACACGTGCATGACACAGCAATGAATTTATTGCATTTACCGAGAAAACGCCATTGATTTTACTTTGCAATCGTGAAAAGAATAACACTTTTTCAAAACAATTATTTTCTAATCACTCAAAATTTATTTGAAACTATTAACTCCATAAGACAACAAAAGTGCTATACATAATATACGAGAGCGAAACCCCTGCTTTTAACAGGCAGAAACACGGAGTAGTTATGAAGTGCATCACGCGCGGTTTACACTATCGAAATAACGAGACCAGTGCTGCCACTAGAAGAAACGTAATTCTTTACAATTTTTACCTGTAAATGTAACTTTTACAAAAAGAAAACTTAGGAAAATTAAATTTCCGTATTAGAACTGTCTAAATTAGGGATGTATCCCCCTTTTATTAATAATTAAAGTCAGATTAAATTTCTCGAAATTCTAACAATGAGAGCAATGAGTCGAACTGATCGTCAACTGCCAACTTCACAGCAGTTTTTCTATTTTGAAGAATTTTTCTCAATATTTCTGTTAATTTACTGATTTTTCAAGAAATTTCTTTCTAAATAAACTCGGAAGTAAGTAAATATTAGAATTAAACTGTTTATTAAGTGATTTTCTATTATAAATACTGCTTTTCACGTGCGAGAGAAAAGTTGGTTCTGCAACCACAGGGGCGGACTTAAGAAATGTACCTTTTCAGTGCCGTCTAAATTAGGGGGGTCCATAGTATTTTCCGTATTTTCAAATATTTCAGTAAATTATAAATTATATTAATAATAAAAAGATTATTTTTTAATTAATTAATTGCCATTTTATTATTTAGGGAATAATTATCTATTTCAGTTAAAAGGATAACTCTGTTTTTTGTTATTTTTAATAAAAAATATATAAAATTGTGTTTTTAATTGAAAAATTCAAAACGGCGGTTTTCTCAGACAAAATTAAAATTTTTATGATTTGATTCAAATTGACTGTTTTTATTTAAATTTTTCTGTTATTAATTTTAATTAAAGATTTAAAGGATGTAATTAAATTTTTTGCATTTACACCTATAAAAATTCATTTGCTTTACTAAATTGTTTATTAAAAAAATATATAATAATTTTACTTAACTAAATAATTTTTAATTAACTTTAATTAATATCAAAAATAGTAGGTAATAATGAAAAAACTTAATTTAAAAATAAATGAAATTTATTTATTTATTAAAGAATAATAATTTGGGCAATGCCCAAATAAATAAGTAAAAATAAATAAAATAATAATTAGAAAAATAGTCAAAAAAATAAGTAAAATAAATTAATGAATAAAAATTGTACATTAAATTAAAATAATTTTACATTAATTAAAGTAAAATTTTAATTAAATATTAAATTCAATTCAAAAAATTAAATAACTATTTTTTTTATTCACATAGAGAAATAAAAAACGGGAAATTTTTTAATTTTAAAACTTATATTTCAAGTTTTTTTCTACACAATAATAATATACAAATTTTACGAATTACAAAAATACACAAAGACATTAAGTTTTTTTTTGCTTATTGAATAATTTATAGATAATAAAAGCTTTTGAGCTCTTTTCGAATTTTTTTTTATGACAATATCAAAATGTTGATAATAAAAGATAAATATGATCAAAGATGAAAATGATACAATAATTTTATATTATAACTATAAGAGTAATCTTTCAGTTCATTAAATTCCAAATCTTACAGTCTTAAAAATTTATACAAACAATTTTCGTACTTTTTCAGTTCATGTTTTTTTATCTTTTTATTTATTGACTTTTTTTATTTTCATTTTTCTCTTTTCAAAATTTCTTTCATTTTCAAATTATTGAAATTATTTATTTTTAATTATTATTTTTAATTAATATTTTTAAATATTCATTTTTAATTATAATTTACAATTATAATTTTTTATTATAAATTTTATTATTTTTAATTACTAATTTTGGAAATTAATAATTAAAAAAATGAACTGAAATTTCAATGTAAAATTTTTTTAACGCTGAAATTGATAGGCGGATTGATCTAAATTATAGTAAACAATTTGTTCATTAATCCAATGACGTGCAGATGCAATTTTTGCATAAACTCCGGGAACATTATTTTCGGCGCAACCAATTCCCCAGGCGACGATTCCAGCTTGTACGTAACGACTTGGATCTCTAAGCAAAGGACACACCAAAGGACTGCCTCCGTCACCCTAAAAATTAATTACATCAAAATTATAATTACAATTTTAAAAGAAATTTTATTCTTGAATTAAAATTATTCTATAATTTTTAGGACTTGTATTTAATTTAAATTTTGTTTTTTTCTAAATTTTTCAATTCTAAAAATTTACTGAAAAGAAAAATACCTAAATAAATTTAAAATCTATATTTTTTTTTATAAACAAAAATGAATTCTGAAAACTTTATAATTTTTTTCAATTCCTTTATCTGTGAATTTTTGAAAATTTAAACTTTACGGAAATTTTTTTGTCACTTCGTTCAATTCAATTTTATTATGAAAATACAGTTTTTTGAATATTAAAAAATTAATCTTCAACTGATAAATAAATAAATATTTAATTTATATTCACTTTAATATAATAATTTACGGAAATATTTAAGTGGAAAATAATTCGTTCAATTGAACGTTCAAAACTTTAGGATAAAGAATCATTTATAATTCCTGAATGATTGTCATTCGAATTATTTAATACCTTGCAAGTATCTTTTCCCTCTCCGCCAGCGCAGATGAAAGTTTGATGAAGATTAAAATATTTCCCAAGTCTCGTGTTTCTCAACGAATTTTGACAGGTATTATGAGGCACTATTGGCAATTCGACTTTCTTCAAAATAACTTGATATTTTCCTTCTTTACCTGAAAAGTAATTACAATTTATTAGAACTGACGTTATTTTTCAAATAAATTTATTTCTCTTTTTGAATAAGTTTGTTTCTTTTTCTGTGTAAATTTGTTTCTTTTCTTGTGTAAATTTGTTTTCTTTTTCTGTGTAATTTTGTTTCTTTTTCTGTCTAAATTTGTGTCTTTTTTGTGTAAATTTGTATCTTTTTATTAAATTAAGAAATTATTATTTATTTATTATGTGGTAAAAAAATAATTATCGTACCGAAAACATCTTTGCCCCAACCGCTGGCGAAACATCGTGCTCCATCGAATTCGTCACCTTCCTCGGGAAGACAAACCACGTCCACATTTTCCGCCTGATCAACTGGCGTTTTTAGAATCAAGAGAGCAAAATCATTGTACAATGCTCCAGAGTGGAAACCCTCGTGGACAACGACAGCCTGGACTTCACGATCTTGATGGGGATAAATCTCATTTTTCGTTTGTGTGTCCCATTCACCGGCTCGAACTTTGAAGGAACTTGCCTCCTTTCTAAAGGGAAGAAAAAAGCAAAAGAAAATTAAACTTTCTCGTTAAAACTAAATTCATTCTTGCAATTAAATTTTGAAATTAAAATTAAATTAATTGTTGAAATTAAATTTCCAAATCAAAATTAAGTTTTAATAATAAAATTAAATTCATTTTTGAAACTAAATTTCAATATTAAAATTATGTAAATTCATTTTTGCAATTAAATTTTGAAATTAAAGTTAAATTATAATTGTCGACATAAAATTATCAAATTGACATTAAATTTTGAATAGCAAGTTTCAAATTAATTTAATGTACCCATTGACACAGTGAGCGGCAGTAAGAACAGCTTGTCGATGAATAAGTGCGCCTCCACATTGATAAAAGTTGACTTTCTGACCAGTATTGCTGAAATCTTCTTCCCTCAAAATAGCCACCATCCATGGAAATTCGCCAAATTGAGCCTCGTTATCTTTATAGCCGGTTATCCGAAATCCAACACCTTCTGGATTACGTTGACCACATCCCTTACGAACTGTCGGCGGCGGGGTAATTTTATCTTTTGGATCCTTTATAACATCGGGAATTTTGCAACAAATATCCAAATATGCGTCACAAACACCTTGAATTCTAAAAGCAAAAAAAGAAAATAAATAAAAGTTAACTTTTTGCTGAATTAAAAAAATTTCTGCTTCCGAATTAAAAAGAGTACTTTTGCTGAATTAAAAAATATACTTTTTTTGAATTAGAAAATTTTGTTTTTAAATGGAAAAGTTTGTTCTGAATAAAACAAAATTTTCTAAATTAAACTATGTTTTTATTTTTTTAAAAAAATAAAGAAACAAACCTAATGTCAATGATTCCAATTCCATTGTCTATGATTGTGTTGTTTTGACATTGATAATACGGAACGCATTCGCAGTCATCTGGTTTGTTATTTTTTTGATTATCCGTGCCAAGAATTGTGGTCGGTGAAGTGTTTCCTGTACTTTGTTTAGGATTAAAAACACTGTCAATTAATTCGTCTAAATTCGTATTATCGCCGGCTTTACTCTCTACTGGTTGAGAAGCTTTTCCCTGATTGAACACATTGTCAACTAATGTGTCCAAATTTCCACCTGCAAAAAAAATACAAATTACTATCAATTTTTAAATAAGTCAGGTTAATTAAATTTATATTTAATAATTTAATTCATATTCAATAATTTTATACTTTCAAAAAAAAAGAAAAAACAAATTACGAATTATGTAATGCAATAAAATTACCAGAACTTTGTTGAGGAGCTGCTAAACAAACTCCAACGAAGAAGGAAATTAACGTGGCACGAAAGAACCACATATTGAAAAACTGCGACTGCAAAAAATAGAAAATTGTAAACAAAGATGAAATCAACGATAAATTATTGTATACAAAGAATAATTCAGTTTACAAGATTTTTTTCCTACAATTTATTAAACTGTTTATAAATTTTTTTCTTCTTCTAATTTTTCAAGAGAGAATTTTTTAAATTAATGTATTATTAATACAATTTTCACAATTAACATTAAGTGATTCAACTGAATGCGTTATAATATGTAATTTGAATTTCTGATTAACAGTTTATAATTTACTAAGGAAAAATCGAAGAGAAAATTAAATAAAAAAAAAAGTTGTTTAAAAAAACCTCACAAACTTGAAAAATAAAAATTTAAACGTAAATTGTAGAGAAATATTTTTAATTTCAAACGAGAGACGGAGGGAATTAAAAATTTGAAGGTCAAGAGCATGTCTAGAAAAAATTTCGTAATCTTTATATTTATATTCTCATGTGGTCAGTGAAAGTACGATGTCTGATTACTAATTAAAAAAAAGCTAGTGTTTTTCAAGAATACAAATAAACATTTTTTTCTGGTCGGAAAATTAAATATTTCTTTGAATGTTTTGTAATTAAAATTTATATAAAAGGGCAAAAAAGAGGAATATTTGCTTCAGTGTTGATTTTAGAAATTAAAATTATTGTTACAGGAATTCTAATTTAAGGTTCAACTAAATAAAAAAAGAAATAAATCAATAAAAAGAAATAAATAAAAAAAAGTTAAATTTAAATAAAAAGAAATGAGGGAGAAATAAAAAATAAGTAAAAAAGTAAATAACAAATAAAGAAATGTCTAAAAAATAAAGATAGAATAAAAAGTAAATAAATAAAAAACTTAAAAAATAGAATAAAGAAATAAACAACAATAAAGAGTTCTAAAGAAATTAAAAATCGAAATTTGAATATTTTTTAAAATTAACTCAGCAGCAGATAAATAAAAAATACAGAATAAAAAAAATGTCTAAGAAAACAAAAGATAGAATAAAAAATGTCTAAACAACAAAAGATAGAATAAAAATAAATAAAAAACTTAAAAATAGAATAAAAAATAAATAAAAATAAAAAGATAGAATAAAAATAAATAAAAAATAAATAAAAATAAAAAGATAGAATAAAAATAAATAAAAAACTTAAAAATAGAACAAAAAATAAATAAAAATAAAAAGATAGAATAAAAATAAATAAAAAACTTTAAACTAGAATAAAAAATAAATCAAAATAAAAAGATCTAAAAAAATTAATAATGGAAATTTGAATATTATATAAATTGAACTCAGTAACAGATAAATGAAAAAAGCCTGACGGATCGTGAGCGTCAGGTAATTGAGAGGGAAATCCCCGAATTCAATGAAACAGCGCAGGTAACCTCGACCTGCAAAAAAAAAAAAATCTCAAAGGTATAAATTTCAAAACTATTCAGTTTAAAGACATAATTATTTCCAAATAGAAATAAAATTTTGCTTAGAAATTTCTAATCGGGATTTCCATAAATTAAGAAAATTCCAATTTAAATTAAAGTTGAATAAACTAATTAAATAATAATGCTTCTAAACTTCAATTAAAATTCGAACCTATTAGTTTTAATTTTGAATGATAAAATCGACTGTTCAAGATTTTAATTTACAAACAAAAATATAGTCTTTAATTTAAATAAATTTACACGTACGCAATTTAAATGAGTAATAAAAATTTAATTTTCTATCACCTTGTTGGTATGTGTTTGAGAAAAATTAAAAGTTTTGAATACAAAGAAAAACAAAGAGTTGAATTAATTGGAAAAGGAAATTACTCAGCAGAAAATGATTCTAATTTAAAATTCACAACGTTGAAAATATCATTAAAAACAGTAATCAAATCCAGAAATATAACACAAATACACAAAAAAAGACACTTTTCCGCATTGTTAATACGACGTTCGTAAAAAAGTAATATTTTTATTTTTGGAACAATTTTTATTAATTTTTAATAATATATATTTTTGAAGATGATAATCATAATTTTAAAAATTGAACAAAGAAAGTAAAAATGGCACTGAACTTAATTATTTCCTCAGTAAAAATATTTTTCAATTTTTTGTAATTTCGCTGAAAGTTTGATTTAAAATCGAAAAATTCATAAATTTATAATTGTTCATTATAATTGTTTTTTAATTAATATTGTGATAAAAAAAGTTTAAGATCTATACTAGAAAAATACGACATAATATCGTAAATTGTATATAACACCGACCTTAAGTGTGAAAACCGGTCGAAAAACCGGTACGTAATTATCAAGATCACAAATAGTCTTCGTACAAACTTCTTACTCTCAATGATTAAATTTACTTTGTTTCGCATCAAAATAAAGTTTAAAAATAGATTTTTTTAAAATAAATTAGAAAAAATGAGATAATTTATTAAAATTTTGATTTAGAACTTAATTTCTATTTCGAATTTGAATTAAATTGCTTTTAGTGATAAACTGTTAAAATAATCTTCAATATCTGATTACTCACCAACTATCGATTGACTTGGAAAAGACTTAAAAGCGTCTTTACCGAGACCTGGATGAGGACTGAGTTCTTTTAGTATTCAATCTGAAATCATTGGCATCCCTACTTTTTCACACAGTTGTATAGAATCCTTTCCCTTCCTTGAAGACGATTTTTACACGTGGTTGGAGAGACTTGTGTCTCTCTGCAAAATGTTTCCTCAAAGAGAATTCATTTTTCCTTGACATCTGATTTTGAAATCTCCGATATTTCCGGAACTGCCGCTTTTTTTTTGACTCACCAAAAATCATAACTTTCAATCGAAGAAATCTAGAAAGAAAAATTAAAATAAGTAGAAATAAGTACATTTTTTTCAATTTATACGATAAAAAAAATGTACAAAAAAGAAAAAGAATTATACAGAATAAATGAATGCAAATTAAAATTTCGATTAAAGTTTTCGTTTTTTTTTTAATTAAACCCAAATTTGCAAATTAGGTAATTTATAAATAAAAGGAAAAATTCTGAACTTATGAAGCAGGTCAAGGTAGTCTCGACTGGAATTTTTGCATATATTCGAAAAAATAAAACACGTTTAATCGTAAGTAATTTAATTTGCATTTCCTTTACCCTTCAAAATTAATAGCATACAATTGATTTACTATAAATACCTCGATATTCTTCTTCTTCAAGTTTGCGATTTCGTGGAAAATCGAATCATTAAATGTTTTCATTATATATTTACATGAGAAAACTATTAAACATTTTTTCAGTAGTTTTTTCAAAACTATAATAAAATAAAATGCTTTTTTAAAACTATAAATAGAATAAAGTGTTTCTTTCTAAACTTTAATAAAATAAAATCTTTCTTTTCTAAACTATAATAAAAAAATGCATTTTTTAAAAGTACCTACAATAAAATAAAATGTTAAATCTTAAACGTTAAATATTAAGATAAAAAATATTTAGAGACCACTAAAATTTTTTTTTAGTTTCATTTATTAATAAGAAATTGTTCTTAAGTTTATGTTTCTCTCCTTTACATAATCATAATATAAAAAATAAAATAAAGCGAAAAAGAATAATACAAAACAAATACGAAAATTGTATTTGTAAAAATTAAAATGTCTTTAAATAAATTAGAAATATAAAAATAGTATCGGACTAGATTCAACTCACTTAAATAAAATAAATTCATTATTTAAAAAAAATTATACTCCGTAATTAGCAATCTGCTCATCGATCCATAATTTGTGTTTAGCGACACTGGTATAAACTGCAGGATTTAATGTTCCACATCCTATGCCCCAGGATACAATTCCGACCTGAGAATTTATTTATTATTGAATTTTTTAAACGAATTCGAAACTTTGGAAACTCTTTTAAAAAATGCTTTCTTTCACAGAGTTGCCACAAAAATTTAATTTTGTTTCGTCGAAATTTCATAGTTTATGAGTCAAACAAAAAAGATACAAAAATTCAGAATTTTCTTATGAATTCTAAAAATTTAATTTTTTTCACCACTTTTAATAAAAATCCCTGAATTTTCCCTGATTTCCCTAATCGATTCTACTTTCCTGATTTTTCTCAGAATTCCCTGACCTGTGGCAACTCTGTTTCAATATTAAAATTTGTATTTTTTGAATTATTTATTTGAATTTTTTAGAATTAATATTCTAAAAAATTTCAATGCAATGAAAATTGCATTTTCTTTTTGGAAAATTAATTTTAAATTTTTACCTGTACGTATTGTCCGGTACTCATTGGACAAACCAAAGGACCTCCTCCGTCTCCTCTGCAAGTATCGTGACTGTCTTCTCCTCCAGCGCAAATAAAACTTCCGTGAAGTTGAAAATATGCCCCAAGTCTCGTTTCTCTCAAACGATTTTGACATTCCTCGTTATCAATTAGTGGCAAATCGATTTTTCTTAAAACCGTCTGATACTCTCCTTCAGTGCCTTTAAATATTCAATTTTTATTACTATGACCAACGAAAAATTCTATTCAATACTTAAAGTTAAATCCAAAAAAACATCAAATTATATTAATATATTTAAAATTTTTAATTTTTAATATCGCTAATGAAGTTTAGGAATGATTCTTTTGATGCTTCGTTCAAATTTGAATTTTATATATATTTTGTGAAAAAGAGAAAAAATAAATTCATAACGAAGTAAACATTTAATTTATTTATTTGTTCACTTTATTATGAAAAATTTATTTATTTTAAAAAATTTTCATTTTCGAAAATAGGTATTTGAATAAAAAAACAATTTCGTTCATTTGAACGTTCAAAACTTGTAATAATTTTTCTAAAGTTTAGATTGTATATTGTTTTATAATGTCTTGTATTATATCTTATTGTAATTTTCCTTTTTTACAATATTGTACTTTCTATAACTTTGTATCATATAGATTATAAAAATTATATAACTTTGTATTATAAAGATTATAAAAAATTCAAATTAGAAAGTTTTCGAGAAGGAAATTATTATTTTTATATACAGAAAAGATATTAGTAAATCCCGAAACCTTGAAAGTAAAAAAATGTTGAAATAAAAAAAAAAAAAGCTTTTGTTTTCGTTAAGTTTTTTTTAGAATAATTTTGATTAATTTCTTACCAAATGCACTGCGACCCCATCCGGTAGCGTAACATCTTGTACCGGGGGGGAATTCTTGCCCTTGAAAAGGTAAACAAATTGGCATCACGTTTATCGAGTACGTAACAGGGTTTTTCAAAATCAGTATTGCCACATCATGATATAATGCTGCGTTGAAAAAATGTGGATGTATAATCACAGTCTCTATTTCAACCTCTTGAAAAGGCAATGGCTCATCAATCGTCTTTGTGTCCCATTCTCCGAAGCGAGCCACTAAATTGCTAATACTGCGACTGAAATTCAACCAAAGAGTTCAGTAAAAGAAAAATTATTAATTAGCTTTTCCTCTAAAAAATGCTTTCATAAATTAAAAACCATGATTTCTCTTCCAAGAATTTTTAATTTTAGTTTTCTTTTTTAATGCTTAGTTTCTTTTTCATTAGTTTTTTTTAGAAATTAATGTATAAAAAAATTCTTTTAGAACTAAAATTTTCGAATTACTTATTTTTTTTCTCAATTAATATTAATTATTTAAATAAGACATCCTTATTTTGAATTAAGCTAAACCTATTTCAAATTACCTATGAAACTTAACGTAATTTTTTTCTAATACAGAAATTAGGATGAGAACATTTAGGAAAATAAGGGAAAAAATTTAATTAGGACGTAGATTTTTGAGAGAAAATTCTTACTTTTGCATGCAGTGTCCAGCGGTGAGAACAATTTTCGAGTTAATCATTGAACCTCCACAAAGAAAGGAATCACTTTGTCCGAAATATCGAAGTAAAATAGCCACCATCCATGGGAATTCTGCAAAATACGTTCTCTCTGGATTTGATGAAGCAGTTTGCTCTAGAAAAAAATTAGCAATTAGTTTTATTAATAAAGCGGAAACATTTTTTTTTTAATAGAACATTATTTTCACACAGAATTATTTTTTTGCTTTTAAATCAAAATTCTTTGTTGTAGGCTCGGAACGAATTTAAGGTGCAAAAAAGAATTTATTCTAGTTAATTTTAGATTGTAAAAAAGGTCGAAAAAAATATTTTAATTTTACTGAATTAAATTAGTTGATATTTTATTAGAATTTTGCTGCTCTCTAAATCTGAATCAGCGAAAAAAGCGCTGTTTTAACCAGTGAACGAAGTTTTCACTGAAAAATAGTGGAATTTACTGAAGATCAGTGGATGTCACTGAAGCATTCAGTAAACTCTGCGTGTGCGCAGAAGTGTAAAATACTCGTAGCGTCATTTCCATTCCAATGTGTCACATTACGCGGAATGTTTTTTTTACATTAGTGACAAATTAATTTAAATTGGATGAAATTAGTGATTAGTAAGTAGTGATTTTAAAGTAAACATTAAAGTGAGCATATTTTCTGTGGTTTCGGTGGTGAGTTTAATAAATTTTAAAGTGGTTTTCCTTGAATTGGAAAAATAAATTTATAATGAAAATCTAACTCTAAATTCACAAGAATATTAGTGTTTTAAGTATAATAAAAAATTATAAATCATATACCCGTAAACATTTTAGACACATATTATTGCAAAATTTTATAATTGTTGGTTATAAATTGATTGAAAAGAAAATTAATACAGCTGCCATATTCCATAATACGTAACCGCTGATTGGACCAGCGACTATTCGCTGATTCTCAGTGGCATACTTATAGCTATTTGAATTAGCGACTATCCGCTGAGAATCAGTGAGTTTTCGCTGATTCTGATTTAGAGAGTGAGACAAATTTTTTTGGCGTTCTATAAAATTCGAAACTGTATTTTTAAATAAATAAAATTGTTAGTAATTATTAATCTTTTTAATGAGGGTTGACACAAACATTTAAATTTGTTTTTTCCTAATTTCCAGACCGATTTTAATTTAAAACTTTGAAGGTTTTTACTCAAAAAATAAAATTATTTCTTGTGAACTCCTTTCAATTATTTTCGAAATTACAATAAAATTCTTGAAAAAATGAATTATTTTTAAAAAATGGAACTGAAATACATTAAAAACTAATTCTTTTGAGTTTTAAATAAAATTTTTTGAAAATTCAATTTTAAAACAAAATTTTTAATTTAAATAGTTTTAAAATTACCTAATTGATAAAACTTGTAATAATTGTAACTCTTTCGAAAATTAAGTTATTAATTATTAAGTTAAAATTCTTTGAAAATTTGCTTTTTTAAAAACTGTCCAATGAAATTCTTCAACGAATTTTATTATTTTCAATTCAAATTCTCAAAATTTCAATTAATTTTATAAATCATTAATTCAACATTTTTAAAAATAAAATTTTTAAAATTTAAAAATATCAAATAAAAAATTTTTCTATGGAAATAATTGAATATTTCAAAGAACTTTTATTAAAATTCTATTCAAAATAATTAAATTCTTGCAAAAATTTTCGTTATTTATGAAAATAATTAAATTCTTTCGAGAAATATAATTAAAATTTATCCAAAATAATTGAATTTCTGCATAAAATTTTATTCTTTATGGAAATAATTGAATTATTTTGAGAAATTTGATTGAAATTTCTGAAAGTAATTGAATTCTTTCGAGAAATTCTAATATAATTAAAATTATATCCAAAATAATTGAATTCAAACATAAAATTTTACTCTTTATGGAAATAATTGAATTCTTTCGAGTACATCTATTAAAATTTCCTTTTAAAATAATTGAATTTCGGCAAATAATTCTATTTTTTATGGAAATAATTGAATTATTTTGAAAAATTTTATTAAAATTACATCCAAAATAATTGAATTTCTGCATAAAATTTTACTCTTTATGTAAATAATTGAATTCTTTCGAGAAATTCTATTAAAATTTCCTTTTAAAATAATTGAATTCTGTCGAGATATTTTATTAAAATTACCTTTTAAAATAATTGAATTTCGGCAAATAATTTAATTTTTTATGGAAATAATTGAATTATCTTGTGAAATTTGATTGAAATTTCTTAAATTAATTGAATTTTTTCGAGAAATATAATTAAAATTATATCTAAAATAATTGAGTTCAAGCATAAAATTTTACTCTTTATGTATGTAAATAATTGAATTCTTTCGAGAAATTCTATTAAAATTTCCTTTTAAAATAATTGAATTCTTTCGAGAAATTTTATTGAAATTTCTTTTTAAAATAATTGAATTTCGGCAAATAATTTTATTTTTTATGGAAATAATTGAATTATTTTGTGAAATTTGATTGAAATTTCTGAAAGTAATTGAATTTTTTCGAGAAATATAATTAAAATTATATTCAAAATAATTGAATTGTTTCTAGGTATTTAATTACATTGTATTGAAATTGATTGATTTCCTTCAAAAAATACTTGTATTTGTAAAAATAATAAAACTCTTCCAAAAAATTTTATTAAAATTGAATAAAAATTTTCCAGAAATCTAATTTTTCAAAATTTAAAATAACAGTATTTAAAACTTAGATAATTTTTTAAATAAATCTCAAATTGTTATTAATTTACTTTTAACTAAAAAATTAGTTTAAGTTTAGATTAATTTACTTTAATTAGAAAATTAGTTTCCTCTCGACTTCGAACGTTGAGATAAATATTAAAAGATGTATTTTTCTTGTTGACTAGAATAATAAATTAGTAGTGAAAAAGTTGTAGAATAGTGTTTGTTGTTGCTGGTCATTATTTAAAGAATTTCAAGATAAATTGAGATAAGTTGAGATAAATAAATATTTCAAGATAAATTGAGATAAGTAAATAATTCAAAAAGAAATGTAAAAAAATTACCTGTAACGAAAATATTACTCGAAAATCCACATTGATTATCAAAAAATATACTGCTCCCCAATTCAGAATGAGCAACAGCAGTGACAGTAGTGGTCCTCTGAATATTTTGAAAACCATTGACTCGACAGCAAACGTCGCCTTCATTTTTACACAACGCAAAACCAGCGTCAATTCCCTCGTATCCTTCTGGATAGACGACATTATCTCCGGAACAAATTGTCATCTTCATACATTTACATTCGTCCTGCGTTCCCGAATAATGAACATCCTGATTATTAATCTCCGTATCAGCTGACAACAATTGTGGCGGCGATTGCGTGAAAATAACTCTGCAACACGTCTCCTGAAGATTCGCGCAGAAACTTCCGAGCGGAAGCAGTGTGCCCATACCAACAAGGGGATTGTAACTCCCCGAGCCGCTGAATGAAATATATCCGAGAACATTACACTGAACGGTCGGTATGCAAATGCACGTTTGTCCAGCCATGAAATTCGGATATCCTTGAATTTGAGGGGCGATTTGACTTTGGAGAACTTGAGGAGCGATTTGACTTTGAAGAAGTTGAGGGGAACTTTGACTTTGGAAAACTTGAGCAGAAAATTGATTTTGGACAAATGGATTTTGAGCAACTAGAGGCGAAAGTGGATTTTGGACAATTTGAGGTAAAACTTGATTTGGAGCAACTTGGGGCCAAGTGGGTAGAGTTGGTGTTAAAGCCGGAAGTCGAGGATCAATTGAAGGTAAACGAATAGTTAGGATTGGAGAACGTGTGGTACCGGCGGGAATATTCGGGAAAGGAAATACTCGACAGCAGATTTGATTGGGCAAAATGCAGACTTGATTTTGTCTGGGATTGAAGGGATTTGATCCGGGATAGTTGGTGATTGGATTTCCGACAATGTAGCCGTTCACGCATTGAAATGTGTAAACGCAGAGGCAGTAGTTGGGGGGGAAATATGTTGGTGGAACGGTTGGGCGCATTGTTAGGGTTATTGGAGGAATTGTTGGTCGAATGGTTATCGGAGGGGGCATTGTAGGTCGAGTAGTCATCGGAGTTGGTCGAGTAGTCATCGGAGTTGGTCGAGTGGTCATCGGAGTTGGCATTGTTGGTCGAGTGGTCATCGGAGGAGGCATTGTTGGTCGAGTGGTCATCGGAGGAGGCATCGTTGGCCTGGGAGTAGTCGGCACAACTCTCAAGTAACAACAGACTTCAAAGTTACCGGTGCACTGACGAGATCTGAAATTTAGTCAAAATTAGTACCAATTAATTAACCAATACCAAGTTAATTAATTAAACTATACCAATTTAATTAATTAACCAATACAAAGCTAATTAATACAGTCTTTGCACTCGATAATTAATTTTAACAGGGTTGCTACAAAATTAAACTTTTATTTCTCCCTGATTTCCAGACCTGTTTTATTTAAAATAAATGTTTATTCATTATTATTTTTCCACAACAATTGAAATTTTAATTTTTAATTTAAACCTCTTGAAACTCATTAATTTATAAGAATATTAAAATAAAACATAAAGAAACTAATTACTCCGAGTCTTCGACTCGGAGTAATTAGTTTCTTCGTGTTTTCAATTTTTAATTCAATTATTATTCAAATAATTATTCATATTTTTAAAGATTTTAATTTGAAACCTTTTCAAAATTCAATTATTTCTAAAAATTCACGTTATAATGATTTTAATATTCAATTATTTAAAATTCATTTAGAAATCAATTTTGACGAGAATTTGAACAAATTTTTGATCATAATTGACGAGAAACAAAAAAAGACAATAAAATTCAGAATTTTCTTATTAAGTCTAAAAATTTAATTTTTTACAGTACTTTTAATGAAATTCCCTAATTTCCCTGACTTCCCTCACCTGTAGCAATTCTGTTTAAAGAAAATTTCTGTAAAAAATTTAAAAATATTAGCAAGTCTTCAAAAATATGATTATATTTAAAAATAATTTTTAAAAGTATGTAATAAATAAAATTCATTAAAATAAAATTATATAAAATTTATTTTAATTAAATTCGACAAAATTTCCAATTAATTGGAAATAAAATTGTTACAAGAATAATTGCAATTTTGAAGGAACTCATTATAAATTGCATTTAAAAAAATTGAAATACTGCAAAGATTTTTATTATTTATGAAAATAATTGAATTCTAACAAAGAATTTTATTATTTATGGAAATAATTGAAATACAGCAAAAAATGTTTTTATTTATGAAAATAATTGAATTCTATTGTAAAGAATTTTATTCTTTATGGAAATAATTGAATTATTTTAGAAAAATTTATTAAAATTATAACGAAAGTAATTAAATTTCTCTGAGAAATTTTATTAAAATCTCCTTTTAAAATAATTGAATTTCGGCAAATAATTTTATTTATTATTGAAATAATTGAATTATTTTGAAAAATTTTATTAAAACTACATCCAAAATAATTGAATTCCTGCATAAAATATTATTTTTGTGGAAATAATTGAATTATTTTGAGAAATTTGATTGAAAATATTTCTGAAAGTAATTGAATTCTTTCGAGAAATATAATTAAAATTATATCAAAATTAATTGAATTCCATAGCATAAAATTTTATTCTTAATGGAAATAATTGAATTCTTTCAAAAAATTCTATTAAAATTTTCTTTTAAAATAATTGAATTCTTTAGAAAAATTTTATTAAAATTTCCTTTTAAAATAATTATTATTATAATTATTTACAAAAATAATTGAATTCCTGCATAAAATTTTATTTTTTATGGAAATAATTGAATTATTTTGAGAAATTTCACTAAAATTTTGTTTTAAAATAATTAAATTCTTGCAAAAAATTTTATTATTAAAAAAATAATTGATTTCCTGTATAAAAATTTATTATTTAAGAAAATACTTTAATTTTTTCGAGGAATTTTATTATTTTTAAAAATATTTGAATTCTTTTGAAACAATTTATTAACTTTAAATCTAAAAATAATTGAATTCCTGTAAAAAAAATTTATTATTTAAGAAAATAATTTAAATCTTTCGAAGAATTTTATTAAAATTTCTGAAAATAATAATTGAATTCTTTTGAAAGAATTTTTATTACAAATTTTGAAAATAATTAAATTGTTTTGAGGAATTTAATTACAATTGTATTGATAATAATTGAATTCCTTGGAAAAATTCTATTATTTGTAAAAATAATTCAATTCCTTCGAAACATTCTATTATTTGTAAAAATAATTGAATTCTTGCAAAAAATTGTATAAAAATTTTTGAATATGATTAAATTCTTTCGTCTTTCTCCTTCACTATAAATTCTTTCGAATAATTTAAGTAAAATTTTATTAAAAATACTAGATTTTTTTGCTTATGAATTTTATTATTTTTAAAAATCAATTTTTTCACGAGGAATTGAATTATAAAATATTGTACTCAAAATAATTATATTCTTATGAACAAATTTTACAAAAATTTTGTGAAAATAATTGAATTCCTTCAATTTTAACGAATTGAATTTTATTATGTAAAATATTTTAAATAATAGATTTCTTTCGAAAAATTTTCTTGATTGTTTTCAAATAATTGATTTATTTTAAATAATTCAATTCCTGTAAAAATTATATTCTTTATGAAAATAATTGAATTTTTACGAAAAATTTTATGCAAAATTCTCTTTAAATAATTCAATTCCTTAGAGAAATTTTATTTAAAATATCAGATATTGAAAATAATTGTATTTCACAAATACGTACCGAACATCAAGAGGTCCCAACATTCCCGTCAGAATAATATTATTATTAATATCGCACTGATAGTAGGGAACACAAATACAACCCGGTGGACCGGTGGTAGTTGTTTGAATCCTATCCAATTGTTGTAACTTATAAAGTTTATGTTTCAGCAAATGTAGAAAAAATAGACCCGAAGAACCTCCAAATCTCAAGTCGCCCTCAACCGGTGGATAAAGATTTGGATCGAATGACGTTAAATTTGTTTCCGAAATATTTCCATTCTCTAGAGCAAAACTAAACGTAATGTCAATGATTATTTGCATTAAAATAAATCCCAACGTTCGAGTACTCATCATTGTTTCACAGTGATGCAATTTTTGATGATGCTGCCGCCTTTTATATACCTCGGATGTTTGGTAATCCCTTGAATTTATGAAGAATAATATAAATAAAATCAGATATATTTGTCGAACGTCGACACGTCTCGTTGATCTGAAACCTAGCTGAGATAATTACACTGGTAACAATATTCGTACCTGGCACATTCCTGACAATTATTTTTCTTATCAATTCACAATTTTTTTTTTTTTTTTTTGTGCACAAAAAGGAAAAAAATTATGAACAAAAAATTAAATTAACGAAATAAACAGTGAAACCCATTATTAATATACAATGTAAAATAAAAAGCAAATCTTTAGACAATAAAAATGTTTATTTTAAAGAGAAAAAAAACCAACATAAGTAAAAAAAATTAATAATTAATAAAAAGTTAATAAAAGATTTAAGAAAATTAATAAAAGTAAAATAAAAAGCAGTTTTTTTTGTACAAAAAAATTTTTATTTAAAAGAGTAAAAAAACCTATCGAAAATATGTAAAAAAAATTACAATTACTTTTTGAAATACACAAATTCAATTGTGAATAAAAAATCAAATTTCTATAGAAAACATAATTTAGTTAATATTTATAATAATGGAACATTGCTGAAAAAAATGTAGTTAATATTAATAAATACGGAAATTAATATTTTCTACAACTTTCCTGTAATGGAACTTTGTGAAAACTGATAGACACTTTTGTTTTTTTTTCCTCTCATTTTGTCACACGCGACATTATTCGCATTAATGGATATTATCTTTGGGAAAGAGTATATAAACACATTATTGCGAATCTATTTACATGAACTACTTCTCGCGAAGGTAATAATAATTTTATTCACACAGAAAATCTATATTGTTTACTTTTATTTTTATAGTTGTCCTCTTTTCCATAGAATGAATTTCGTATAATCGTGCAGGCCTCGGATCGACTTTAAGGTGCAAAAAAAGACGATGAAAGAGATAAAAATTGTCGAAAAATGTTATTTCTTTTATTCAGTGTTGTCAAAAACATTTAATTTTTCATTTTCCTGAGTTTTCATTAATTTATAAAATTTATTAACTGAATATTAATTTATTCAAAATATCAATAATATTTATTTATTCAATTAATTATAAATATTTTTAAATAACTCTTTAGGACTTTTATTACTTATTTCTAAAAATTACAATTCTAAAACCTTGCAAAATTTAATCATTTTCAATAATTCTTTTTTGAAGACTTTTTTGGATTTCTAAAAATAAATGGTTAAATTCCAAAACTTAATTATTTTTTACAATTTTCAACTAAATTTTTTTTCTAAATCAGTTTTTTTTTAACTTTTCTGAAAGTGCTTCGAGAATTTAATTAATTTTTTCATAATTTTCTAAAAATCAAGCATATTTAATATTTTTAATTATATTTTTCAATTTAAAAAAAATTCATTTTCTTATATAATAAATTGTAATTGTTAAAAATAATTGATTTTTAAAAAATTATAATAAAAAATTTCCTAAAAAATTAGTTTTTTAAAAATATTTTAAATAAATAATTTTTTGAAAATATTAAAATTAAATTTTTGAAGAATTTTAATTGCAAATGTAAAAAATTTCAATAAAATTTTAATGATAAGTTTAAAAAACGTATTTTCGAAAATTTTATTTTTTTTTTTGAAGATATGTGAGTCTTGAAAAATGATGATAAAAAACCCCAAGAATTCTAGTTTTAAAAATATTGTAATTGAATTTTTCCAAAAATAATTTAATTTCTGACAGAAATTTTTAGAAAACTGAAGAAACTAATTAATTTCTTGAAGAATATTAATTAAAAACTTTCAAGATGATTATTTTCTTATAAAATTTAATAATAAAAAAAAAAAATTTGGATACGGTTTGAAAAATTGCAATGTAATTATTTTTTGTAGATATTTAAATTTTTCCAATCATTAAGTGAATAAAATAATTGAATTCTCAAAAATTACATATAATAAAACAATTTAAAGAATTACTTTTTTCAAAGATCTTTTAATATAATTTCTTTAAATCTAATTTTTATATAATTTTTTAATCTAATTTTCATATTCATAATTTTCATTATTTGAAGATTATTTATTAAAAAAATTTTTTTTAATCGAATTAAATTAAATTAAAATTTTTGAAAATATGTAATTAAAATTCTTCAAAACCTGGTTTTTAAAAAATTCTGAATGAAACTCTTTAAAAAGGTCAATTATTTTCAATAAAATTTGACAAAATTTCAATTAATTAAAATTAGTTAATTATTAATTCTTCAAAACTTGATTTTCAAAAATTTTGAATGAAACTCTTAAAAAATGTCAATTATTTTCAATAAAATTTGACAAAACTTCAAAATTATATTTAAAAAGTTTCTAATTTTAGTTTTCAAAAATTTAATTATCTGAAAAAAGTAATCAAAAATAATTTTTGAATGATTTGACAGTTATTTTTCACACTATAAATATTTAAATAGCATTTTATACTAGAAAATCGGTATTTTTTTGTAGTCTTTAATAGAAAAATCGAAAAAGTAAAATTTTTTGAAAATAAGTGCGAAAAAATTCAATTTTTAAAAATAGTGGAAAAATGTCGAAAAAATATAAATATCCGAGACCTGAAACGTATCTTAAAAATTAAAAAAAAATACATAATGAAAAAACAGTAAAATAAAAATTCCTAATAAAGAAAAAGTTGATATTTCCTTTTTTTTTAAATTTAAAATTCTTACAATTTGAAACGTAAAAAATGTCGACCAAAATAAATGATGATGAAAATGAACAAAAAACTTGTTTTTAATTTAATGTACAATATTTTATTGTTAAATATTCAGTTTTGTTTAAACAGACGAAAGACAAAATACATTGAGTTATATAATTATTATAATCAAAAAGTTAATATCGACGTACAAAGAAATTGTAAAATCAAAGTAAAAGGTGATTATAAAATCATACCTCTATAATTATATATACTAATTATATTGGTACAAAAAACGTGAAGATTAAATTTTTTTTATACAATTCTGTTTTTGTTTAGCATTAAACTGCAAATTGAAATAGAAAAATGTTATAATTAATTATATTCGATTTCTGTTTTTTCATTATTTCGTAAATTTTCAATGTAAAACTTTTATTATACATTAATTATCATCTTATCAATAACTTTAAAAATACACAACCCCAATAAATCGTATCGTCTCAAGAAAAAGAAGAAGAAAAAATTTGCAAAAATAAAAAAAATTATTTTTAATTTACTTTTATCGCCGATAATAATTAATAAAAGAAGAGAAAAATATTTTTCTTTCCACAAATTTTTCTCTCTTTTCTCCCACACGATAATAATTAAGTTGTGTATTTATTTATTTTTCACAGTTGCACGGACATGATCTTTTTTTTTGTGTTATGTGTCTTTTCTTTTTGTTCTATACAATTTGAAACAAAAATTAACTTTTACACATTTTCGAGAAATAATAAAAAAAAAGAAAAAAAAATGTCAAAACTTTTTTAAATAAGTCAAAAAGGCATAAATGCGCTTCTAATACGTGGAAAGAAATCAAAACTATTTAGGGTCTAAAATGTAAACAAACTGTCCTACCTACAATACTCTTTGTTTGGATGACCTCCAATGTACAAGAAGATCGTTTTTGGAAAGGATCATAAATCATTATCTAGTATAAGTCTCGAAACCGAGAAATAAAATAAAATGAAGATAAATATATAAGGAAGAAATATGAAACTCACAAGAGAAGTGCGCGACATTATTATTGTAAAACTTTTTCCTCGACTTTTTCGTTTGTAATGAATATTCGTTTTTTAAATCTTCACTTTCTTCCTTGTTCTTATAATCTTAATTATTATTTTCTTTTGTGATTCTCACACAATTAAATACATAATTCGAAACTATTTTGTGATTAATTTCTTAATGAAATCAGTACATGATCTATTTATTTAATTATTATATCTTCTTTCACACATTAATTATTAAAGTAAAGAAAAAAATCGTTCACAACAAAAAAAAAAGAAAAAAAAAATTCATGCGTATTAAAAAAAAAGTCAAAAAAAAGCACTTAATTATCTCAATGTTTTAATTTTCAATGAAAATTTACTATCTTGTAGATAAATTTTTAATTCCTTGTAATCACAAAGAAAAGTTTATTTTCAAAATTTTAAATGTTTAAATTTCACAAAAATTTACTATTTTACATTTGTAAATTTTAAATTCAATTCTTTGTTAATGACAAAGAAAATTAAGTTTTTAAAATTATTACTTTGAACCAGCAAAAGTTTTCAAAATTGGAAAAATTATCATTTTTATAAAATGTAATTTTTTAAAACGTAAATTTCGATTGAATTATTGTTAAATTAATTTTGATTGTCGTTAAATTAATTTTTAGATTGTTGTTAAATTTTCAATTTATCGGAAAACGGACAAAATTTCAGTGCTTTTTTTAAATTAAGTTGTTAAATTTGAATAAAACTTGGATATTGTCATGAATATTTGTTTTTAAATCGTCAGAAATCAAAATTTCAAATATTTCGATTTTAATAATTTCACATTCAAAACTAATATTATTTTTTTTCGGACCTTGTTTTCCTTTTATATATAATTGAATACTTGGTATTCAAAATTTGACAAAATTTATATAATTTGCCTATATATCAAAATAATATCAAAAAAATTCGTAACACATGATATATCAAGCCGTGCAACATTTGTCTCAATTTTTCGAGAATATAACTTGATAAATTCTTTTGATAAATAACTTTCAACTTATATTAATTAAATGCATTTAGTTAATCTAATTTTTTTTTCATTAAAAACGAAAAAAAAATTATTTACTAGTCGACTACATGCGATTATTTTTGAACTTCTAAATTTGATTTTGAAAGTTGAAAAATATTTCGCTTGTTTATAAATAATTTTTTAAAAAATAAAAATTAAGATTATAAATGCATTAACTTAAACATAATCTCTGTTAATAATTAACGTATAATTAATAATACTTGAGAGAAATAGATTGTAGTGTGGAATTGATGATTTTTATTTCGCCCGTCCTTTCTTTCCGCTGCTATTCCGCAGTGATTTCAATGCAGAAACAATTGGCACTCCCGATGGTTTTGGATTCTTGGGACAATATTTCAGTGTGTGTGAGTCATCCCCCTTCGCATTACAAATGGGACATTGGTACTTTCTGCGAAAAAAAGGGGTTTTTATTTTTCAGGTCAACGACTATTTGCTTTCTTTATTTTCGACACATGTTTATTTTTAAGTGTGAATTTTCTTTTTTCCCGGACCTTTTTTTTTTGCTTTGATTTTTGAGGCTTTAGAAAAATGTAGATAATGAATTTTTTTCACATTTTTCTCTGAGAAATTTCTTTTTATTGTGGGGGGTGATTTTTCAAAAAGAATTTTTTTCTGATTTGAGGGAAAAATGAATATAAAGTCAAAAGAAAATAAAACGGAAGAATGGAAGAAATATTTAAGCGATTGAAAGGGGAAAATATTGACATATTTGATTTTTAAAAACTGAAAATTTAAGTATTTAGACAGAAAAATATGTTTTTAAATAAAAAAAAAAGAATAAAAATTCGTTTTTGGTAAAACGAAACTTTATTTTATTATTTTGCTGACTTTTTAACGTAACTAAGAAAAATATGAAATAAAATTACAAATTTTAAAAGTTTAAATGAAATTTTTGTATTTCTTTCAAATTCTTATTAATTTCAAATTCAAATATTTCTTCAAATTTTATTTAATTCTTCGTTTCAATATATATGAAACAAAATGACAAATTTAAAACGTTCAAATTAATATTTTTTTTACTTTTTCCAAATTCTTATTTATTTAGTTTAAATTTAAATACTTCTTTAATTTTAATATTTTAGCAATAACACTTCTTTTATTATTTATAAAAATAAATGAATTCTTTCAAGAATTTTGTAAAAAATTTTCTAAATAATTTAATTTCTGGAAAAATAATTGAATTCTTTTGTGGAATTTTTAAAAAATGTAATTAATAAAAATAATTGATTTTCAGGGAAGAATTTCAGTATTTTTTTTATTAAAATTGTAAAATATTGAAAATAATTTATTTTCAGGGAAGAATTTCAGTATTTGTGAAAATAATTCGATTCTTGCGAAAAATTTTCTTCCAATTTTTTGAAAATAATTTCAGTATTTGTGAAAATAATTCGATTCTTGCGAAAAAATTTCTTCTAATTCTTTCGAAAATAATTAATGTGTATAAAAGAATTTAATTAAAATTTTTTAAATTGTTTCTAAGAAGTAAACAAATAATTTCATAATAATTTTTTTATTACACTTTTTTCAAATTCTTATTTATTTAGTTTAAATTCAAATACTTCTTTAAATTTTATTAGAAAATTATATAATTTCATTATTTTGCTGATTTTTTAATGTAACTAAAAAAAATGTATGAAAAAAATGACAAATTTTAAACGTTTATCTTAAACTTTTTTATTATTTCTTCCAAATTCTTATTTATTTATTTAAAATTCAAATATTTCTTCAAAATTCTTATTTATTTATTTAAAATTCAAATATTTTTCCAAACTTTATTTAATTATTTATTACAAAATGTGCGAAACAAAGAGACAAATTTAAAACGTTTAAATTAATATTTTTTGTTACTTTTTTCAAATTCTTATTTATTTGGTGTAAATTCAAATACTTCTTCAAATTTTATTGGAAAATTAATTTCATTATTTTGCTGATTTTTTAATGTAACTAAATAAAATGACAAATTTTAAACATTTAAATCAAAATTTTTTGTTACATCTTTCAAATTCTTATTTATTTATTTTAAGGAAAAATTCCTATTTGTTATAAAAAGTAAAAGTAAAATTAAAATAAATATATAGAATCTTTATAATTTTTTTTGAAACAATTGCAATAAAATTTTAATTTGAAGAACAAAATAATTTCGTTCGAATGTTTGGAACTTTGGCGACATAAAAAATTGGAAAATAAAATTCAAAATCGATTAAAAAAAATGGAAATACTTTCAATTACCTCAAAATTGGACAAACTACTCTTCCATCCCCGTCTTTAAGGATATGACTTTTGTAATAAATCGGTTGCTCGCCATTATTCTTGCAAAACACACATTCCGTTGGAAGTGGTTTCTTATTTTTTCGCTTCCTTGGCAAGGGCTTTGGATTGTCCTCTTCATTTTCGGATAGGAATTCATAATCCTTTCCATTTGATCTAAATTCATCCATTACGTCGGCTGTAAAAATTATAACCATTGCTTTTCAATCTAAAATGATTTCTCTTCTGTAAAAAAAAAGTGTTTTTTTTTCGTTCAAATTTCTATTTTTCTTCAAAAATATTTCTCTTCTGTAAAAAAAATGTTGTTTTTCGTTCTTTTGTTCTTTCTAAAAAATAAACATAAATTTTTACTTTGAAATAATTCTTTTTGTTCGAAAAATTGTCTTTAATTTTAAATTTAAAATTCAATTTTCGAAAAAAATGTTATTTATTTTTACGAATAATGAAACTTTCACAGGAATTGAATTATTTAAAAAAAAAAGTTTTAAAATTTAATTTTATTATTTGTGAAAATAATTGAATTCTTGGAGACGAATTTTATTAAATTTTTGTAAAATCTTATTAAAATTGTTTAGATATTGAAAATAATTGATTAAAATAATATAAATGTTATTTCCTCCAATTCTTTTGTCTATTCGTCTTCAAATCGTAAAAAAGGAGAATTCGATATTTTTCAAATCTGAGTAACGGTGAAATTTGTAAAACTTTGATACAAATATTATAAACGGCACGAGTTCGTTGAAAAAAATATTTACACTTTGAAAATTTGATCTAAAGAAATAAAATTTGTTTAGAAATATATATGTAGATTTGAGTATTGATACAAGATCATCATATGGTAATTTGATAATGTTTCTGTGACTTATTTTGTAAATAATGCACAATTTCGAAATCTCATAGCTATTGAGTATTGTTTTTATTATTATTATTACAAAGACAATGTCGTTTGATCTGAAAGATGGTAAAAATAATCTGAAAAACTATACAAATTGAAATTATAATCTAAATTGAAAAATTGAAATTTTCTCAATTAAAAAAAATATACAAAAATAGAAAAATTGAAAAAAAAATTCGTTTATTATAAATTTTCCTTCGGACTAATTTTAATTCCAATTTTCTAGAATATTAATTAAATTCTTTGTTTATCGATCAATGCGAATTAAAATTGTAAACGTCTCCACAATTACCACTCAAATTAACGGAAAATTTATTTACGGCAAACTTTTTTAGATACAAAATCACAAATAATTTATCTGATAATTCAAGAAATAGATTACACTTTGTATATTGGTAACATTGGTAATAACTAAACAATGAAAAAAACAATGTACGATCGACTTTTTTCAACTTCGCGTCAAAAGAAAAATTTAGGTTAAAAAGTTAGTCTGCCAACGCGGAGAAAATAATTTCCAAATCAAATTTAACGGAAAGTTAAAAATCAAGCAAGAAATAAACAATCAATCAAATACGTTTTATTTATAGAGAAAATAGAGAAAAATAGATAAATAAATAAGTTTAGGTTAAAAAGTTAGTCTGACAACGCGGAGAAAATAATTTTCAAATCAAATAGCGTTAACGGAAACATCAAAATCAAGCAAGAGACAATCAAATAAAAGCGTTTTAGTTCTAAATAGAGAAAATAAAGAAAAATTGATCCACCAATTACCGCACAAGAAAGAAAAAAACGTGGACGCCAGGCGATGAGATTAAAAAAAGAGAATTTTTGTACTTACGTTTGCATGCTGTTCCCCAATTAGCAGTCGCGCGTGAATCAGAAATTAACAATCGGTTAATTTCATCCTCGAGGGACAAGTGCAGAGGAAAAAATTTCGCAGGTTCATTCTCATTTGGCCTCACATTCATAATTGCCTGTTGTAAGGCATGCTGATGAGGCCACGGTAATTTTTGTTGCACAAATGTCGGCGGCACATTTGTATGCGGAAGAATAATAGTGTGAATCGTATACTTCATCATTTTCTTTTCTTTTCACTATAGTGTAAAAGTAGTAACTTTAAAAATTTAATTTAAAAAACAATCGCCGCATAAAACACTTTTGTCAATCTATTTTTTTTTCTCAAAAATTAAAAACGTCGCCTATATAACTTCACTAATTGAATTCTCGTATTCGTTTATGCCGGCCGGCTTCTTCGACTCGGAAGATTCAACAAGAAGATGTTACCACCCCTTAAAAGTAAAGGAGTAGGGAGAGGAGAGAGAGAGAAACTCCAACCGACCAATAGCAGAAATGGATTCTCAATTCTTGGAAAATGCGTTATTTTTCGGAGAACATTAAATAACGCTAATTTAAATGAATTTTCTTCTAGGTAAGTTTGGTTTTTAAATTACTTGGAAAATTTTAAAGTCTATTGAGTGTAGTTTTTAAATTTCCTGCGCAATTTTCGATGGTATTTTCAAACAAAAGAAAGTGTTTATTAGTGCAATTTTTTGAAATTATGCGCAGGTATCTCACGCTAAAGGTATAAGAGAGACATAAATTAGCCAATAGAAAAATATTAGAAAAAACTTTGAGAGATATATTTAGAATTCGTAACGGCCAAAAACGGAATGTAAACAAAGAAAAGAAAAAAAAACTCCTTGACAAGTTTTCTTGCAGAATGCATTATTTTAGAGGCTGTAACTTTTTTAAAATCACTACTAAAATACAATTATTACCATAACAAAATTATTATCACTTTTATAATGATTATTATTATCTATTATTATTATTATTATTATTATTATTATTAATATTACGATTATTATTATAATCATTATAAATATTATTATGTATTTTTTGTGATTTTTGTTCTTTTGACCTATCTAGGCCTTCTCATTACTCTACAAATTATTATGTATTATTATTATTAACATTATGATTATTATTATTGTAATCATAAATATTATTATCTATTATTATTATCATATAATTATTATTAATACAGGCTTCGCACTCGATAATTAATTTTAAAAAGTAGTAAAAAGTAGCTATTGAAAAATTAAATTTGACAAATAAAAAAACCAATTTTAGCCGATTTACAAGATTCAATATTTTGAAAATTTTTTTAAATGAATATTTAAATACGTATATTTATTTGTTTTTACGGGAATTATAATTTTAATGTAAAACCTTTTTGTTTAACGATTTCTAAAAATATTACAACTGTAATTCTGTCAAAATTTAATCATTTTTTTGGAATTTACAAATAAAAGAAATTTAAAAATTTAATAATTTTTTTTGAAAATAATAAATAATATTCAATATTCAATTAATTGGCTTTAGGATTAATTTGTTTTATAATAAACACATTTTTTATTATTATTAGTCGAAAATTCTTCGAGAATTTGATTATTAAAATGCAAATATAAATAATTGATTTCATAATTGATTATTTTTTTAAATTCAATTCTTATAAAGAATTTTATTAAAAAATTTTTAAATAATTAAATTCTACCGCAGAATTATTTTAATACAATTTTTAAGAATAATTGCAATTTTTCGGAAAATCTATTTATAAATTACATAAAAAATAATTGAAAACCAGCAAAGAATTTTTTTATTTACAAAAATAATTGAATTTTTTTAACGAATTCCATTAAAATTATTTTAATTAATTGAATTTCTAAGACAAATTTTATTATTTGTGAAAATAATTGAATTCTTGCAACGAATTTTATTAAAATTTTTCTAAATAATTCAACTACTGTGAAAATAATTGAATTCTTTCAACGAATTTTATTAAATTTTTTAAAATATTTGAATTCTTTTGTGGAATTTTATTAAAATTGTAAATTTTGAAAATAATTGATTTTTAGGGAAGAATTTCATTATTTGTGTAAATAATTGAATATTCCTAATTGAAATTGAATTTAATTTTTATTATTTGTGAAAATAATTGAATTTATGAAAAGAATTTTAGTATAATTTTAAAGAATAATTGAATTTTTTGAAGAATTTATTATAAAATGTCATTAAAATAATTGAAATCCTGCAAAAAAATTTTTTATTTATAAAAATAATCTAATTCTTTCAACAAATTTTATTACAATTTGTTTAATTAACTGAATTTCTCTGACAAATTTTATTATTTGTGAAAATAATTAAATTCTTGCAACGAATTGAAATTTTTTTTTTTAAATAATTGAATTCCTGTGATAATTTTTATTATTTGTGAAAATAATTGAATTTTTGAAAAGAATTTTAATAAAATTTTTGATTAATTGCATTTTTTGTGGAATTGATTTATAATTGTATTAAGAATAATTTAAATCCTGTAAAGTTTCTTATTATTTATAAAACTAATTCAACTCTTTCAACGAATTTTATTACAATTTTTCTAAATAATTCAATTCCTGTAAAAATAATTGAATTCTTGAAACGAATTTTTTTAATGTTTTAAAATACTTGAATTCTTTTGTAGAATTTTATTAAAATTGTAAATTTTGAAAAGAATTAATTTTCAGGGAAGAATTTCATTATTTATTTATTTATTTATTAAAATTGTAGATATTGAATATAATTGATTTTTAGGAAAGAATTTCAGTATTTGGGAAAATAATTCGATTCTTGCGAAAAATGTTCTTAAAATTTTTGAAAATAATTTATTCCTTTCAAATAATTTATTTTATTTTAATACGAAGCCTGTTCTTATTATTATTCTTATTATAATTAATAATTATTATTATTAGGTATTCTTATCATTATTATGATAAAATACAATCATATGAAAAAAATCAGAAATATTTACATTATTGAATGCAAATATATTTTAAGTTAAATTTAAATATAGCAATGAATTTGAAACTATCGCTCGGGAAAATTTTAATAACAATATTATTAAATTTAAATATATTTGATATACTATATTTACCATAATTTGGTAAATAAAAAAATAATTTCAGTACATTGAGAATGTCTGTACAGGTGTATCATGTATAATGTGATTTTATACAAAAAAAAATAATTATGAAAAACAAAAAATAATTTTTTTTTGGCAAATTAACAATGATTGATGAGAAGAGAAGCGAATTTTCTTTTGTTATTGAAAATAAAATATAATTAATTAAAAAAAATTGCTCATGTGCTAAAGAAGGTGAGGTGAATGGCATAAACAGAAAAATGGCACAACTTCTCTATTCTTCATCTTTATTATTATTGTGTAAATATGTAGGCACTGAACATAATAATGTTTCATAATTTGTTTACAAACATTTACACTTACTTACTGATTTTTTTTTTTTGTTCAATTAATGAAAATTCTCTGCGAGTAGAAATTCCCTAGCTGAATTCTACTTTTTTTTGTAACCATCTCACGTAAAAAGTGACTTTCCTTTTAAAAAAATTCTATTTTCTTTTTTTTTCGTCCCCTAGCATTTTTTATGCCCTTGAATCCAATCTTTGTGATTGTGATCAAGATATTTCCAATTGTGACCTCGATATTTTATCAATATATATATTTATTTTTTTCCATATATATATATATTTTTATTTATTTATTTATATATTTTACTTTTTATGTATACTTTTCATTTTTAATCTCTATTCACTAAATATATTGTTCCTCTAGTCTAAACAAAATTTTTACCACGATTATTTCAGTAATAATCATAATAATGGGAAAAAATTATTGTAATTGAAATTATTTTATCGAGTAAAAGAGAGAGAAAGAGATGGGAAAAGAATAAATTGTGTTACAAAAAAAAAAATGTTAAAATCAAAAAAACTGTTGGTAAAACTTTGGCTAGATGACGATTTCTGATTTTTACAATATATTTAATCAGGGAAAAAGTGAGAGAAAAAAAATCAGGGGGACAGGAGGTGTTATTTGTGTTGTCATTTTTTTTCTCCTTTTTTTTGGCCATCGGTGAAAAATAAATTTAGTACTTTCGCATTATTTAGTCACTATTTCCAGTATTATATTTTTTTTATTAAAAACTGCTGAAATTTCACGAGAAAATACGAAGTTTTTTTTTACAATAAAAAACATTTTTTTTTCAAAATTGGGTTATTTACAAGAAGTTTGCACTTAAATGAACTATAAAGAAATAATCATTCAAGAAGTTGACGACTATTAATCAGACTATAATTAAATTCGACTATTTAATTGGATTAATTAATTTAATTTACTTATTAATCGCTGGATAATTATTCAGAAATTTTTTTTTGATCCAAAACTAAATGTAAAATCGTATCTGTAGTAAATTACAATTTAAATTACACTTTTCTGATCATATTTCGAATTTTATCGTTTTTTATTTTTAACATATTTTCAATTCTGTTTTTTCAATGTTTCAGTGATTAATTCAATTTATTAATTAATTTAACAATTTGATAATAATTTAGTCAATTTCAATCGAATTCTTCCCTTTTAGTAATTAATTACGTAGGTGAAGTTGTTTACAATCTTTTTTCAATAAACTATTGGAGGAGAAAAATATTTTTTTCGTGCAGAAAATAATACTTTAGTCTACAAATTTTTCTTTTCTAAATTGTTGTTTAAAAACTAAAATTTTTTTTAACAAAAATATTTTTTCTTCTTTTTTGAAAATTTTTTTCACCTACGTTTTTAATTTTCACTATATTGCAATGAATGAAATTAATAAAATTAATGAAATTAATAAAATTAATAAAATTAATGAAATTAACAAAATTAATAAAATGAATAGAATAATCCATTAATTTGCTGGTAAATAGTATTTTTCTTTCTTCCCAATTTTTTGTTTTCTCTTATCGAATTTCCACACGAGATACATAAATATATATATATTCAAATAAAAGAAACTTTCTGTTCTAAAATAATTTTTAATTGTAAAAAATAAATACAGAGACTATTTTTGTGACGTCTTGTGTGTCGGTCACTATTCGCTAAAAAAAAGGACGAAAAAAAATTTCCTTTTCACTCATACTTTGCAAAAAAAAGAGAACGGAACTGTTTAATCAAAAATCATTCATTTTATTGAATTATAATAATGAAATTGAGCAATAAATAAAAAAATTATTATACTTTAAAAATTCAATAATTCTTTTTTTTCTCAATTTATAATCAGCGAAGAAATTATCGAATGGCTGTCTTGGAAAAATCCATTCATATTTTTAAATTACAATAAACACGTCCCTTTTTTTTAAATTCAAGTATTAATATTATAATAGCCAAAGTCCAATATTATGGTTTTTTAGAAATTTGGATTCGTGGTTTTTTTTTAAAAATACTCAGTTTCTTTGTTTTATGTGAATGTTGGAAAAATATTTTTGGCTATTATTTTTGTTGAAAAACAAACAAAAAAATGTTTTTGTCTTTTTATAAAGAATTTATTTCAGCCATATTTTTTCCATCGAATAGCATTACTTTTTTGTTGTTTTTTTTATCACCGATGATACATGCGCATTTTTTGTTTTTTTATTCTTCATGAATTTTTTTTTTTAATTTATTAATGATTTTCAGTATGCCGATGTCACGGTGGTCCGATTGGATTTAACTATATATATATAGTCATTATAAATATATATTATATATAATGGGTCCATACGTCGTATGCGCGTGTAATGCAATGTGTATGATAATGAGAGCGTGTATACTAGGAATGTACATAGTGTACGTAGTTTATAATTAGGTTTGTGTATAAAACGATGATACATACTATTTTATTTTCGTTTATATCAAACGACACATAATTATGATATAGATTTTTTTTTTAGTCTCATGGTGCGATAGCCGCAGTATGTGGCATCGTTTGCCCATAGGCTATATAATAGTCTTGTCCTGTTTTTCTCGTACAATGTCAATGCGGTCACGCATCTCTCGATTTTTTTTTTAAACAGATATTATGATACAAAAAACGTCCGAATGATTGGCCTTTTTTCCTGATATTTTTTAAAAAAAGGACTCAACATTTTCGAATTGTTTGAAATTATTCTCTTTACAAATTTAAACACGAAGTGTATATAAAAACTTATGTAAACGCCTCAAAAAAGCGTTTAGTTTACAATAAAACCATTCGGGGAAAAAATTTTAAAAAATTTAAAAAGCTCTTGTAGAATTAAAATAATTTCGATACAATATTTTAGAAAAAGAAACCAATTTTTTAACGATCTTTCTCATGGATATATTGGAATGGAGACGAAGTTGAAAATGTACAGTCCATGAGCGATCGGAGATGACGCAGATATTTTTTGTTCCGCTGTGGCTGTGTAGCAAGAATAAATTTAATAAAAAAAAATTAAAAAAAAAAAATAAAAACAATAGGATTATAAACGTATCTAGAACAAGTAGTTACCGCTAGTGAAACGGCCAGTCATTGCGGACTGTCGGTATTAGATTATCAATATTAATTATTAATACTTCTAGTCGTATACTCTTGCTAGAGTAAAATGTGGTCTCGTGCGTTCCGAAATTTTTTTTTTTAATTCTTATTTTTGTTTGCCGGAACGTGCATAGGCAATACAGAGTGCATCAGCGCATGTATTTTTTTTTGCTCTCTTGATATGCGATATTACTAAACCTAACAAAACTTGTCCTTACATTTCTCATTTGGTATGTCTTAGTCTTATTTTATTAAACGAAAGAGTTCCTAGTTATTTAATACAGAAAAATTCAATGTGACACGATGAGTTCGATTCGAATGTTTAAAAAAAAATTAAATGAGCAGATCTACCTTTTTTCTTTGCTGGTGTGTTTTACAAGTAATTATGAATAAAATAGTCAAGGGTGAAAATAATCGTAAAAAAAAATTCTATATAAATTACAATAAATTGAACAAGAGTGCTTGTAAAGTATTCAAAAAATTTCAAATATTTAAAAAGTATTTTTCTTTTTTATAGGTACATTTAAAGGATGCTTTTCGAATTTACGATCATTAGACAAGACACAATTTTTCCGTGAGTTTTTTAATAATTTTATTTATTGAAATATTTGCTCGATTATACGATTTTTCCATTGTTGACAAAAAAAAAAAAATCTCAAGTGTTTGAAATAGAAAAATGTCAATGTATCTTAATGATCGAAATTTTACTCGCTTTCTATATTTGAAATCGCAACCGCTCGACTGTCTTTTTTTGATTTCTGCTGATGAAATCGTTTTTTATTGTATCAATAGTTCCACACACTTTGGACGAGTGTACAATCGACACCTACTCAGCCTTCTTATCTACAATTCTGTATATACACATATCACAATATAACTCCTATTCTCATTTATGTAAAATGTTTTTTTTAAAAACAAGAAAATTTACAATAATTCAAAAAATGCAAAGGGTAAATCGTAAAAGTTGTCGTCGAGCGACGCGATAATTCTGATTACTTTACAAATACTCGAAAAAAAAATGTCTCGAGATGCAAACTAATGTTTAAAGTCCTTACATCATCAAAAATATCAATGGGAATACCTCTACTATTATTACTTAAATTCTTACTTAGTTTTTATACCTTCAGCAAACAGGAATACTCATTTCCAGTCATTTTCTCAAAGGAGTACAAGTTTATTAATAAAAGTACGGGTCACGCTTCTGTCTTTTTTCGATTATTTTCTTTTTCTTTTTTTTCTTTTTTTTTTCTTTATCGTATCTTATACAAAAAGCACGACCATGACACTGTGTCCAAAAAGTTTTTCGTAACAAAATAAACTGAATAAAATCATCGTCTTTTTTACCTTATAAGGCATTTGGCGATAATTTTAAATCCCTAGCATTTTTTTATACCTGTTACGGCGTTTTTAACGCAATAATATAACGTAAAAGCAGGCATTTTTTTTTCAATATTGTAAAATAGCGATTAAACATTTTTTTTGTTTCCTTCTTTTTTTTTGTGACAAATAATATTAATTTTAGTTTTAGGTCTCGCTATTGCACTGATATTTACAAATGGACGTTATTTTTCGTATTTATTTCAACAAATTGTCTTTGTCATATTTTTTTTTTGTCAATTATCAATCAAAAAAATTTAAAAAAAATTTACTTAAAATTCTTCTTCTTCTTTTTTTTATAAAAAAAAGCTCGCGTATGTATAGCTACAATTCTAAAAACTCCTAAGTGCGTTATTTTACACTGTTGTAAAAGAGATAGAGAGATAGAGATAGAGAGAGAGAGAGAGAAAGATAGAGAGAGAAAGAGAAAAAAATTATATATAAAAAAAAATGATAAAAATTGTACAATCCAAACGCATTGTCTTTGAAAATGATTCCTCTGATTTAGACTTAATTACTTTCGCAAGCACTCGCCTTCTCGTTCTTTTTTTTTATTTTCGACTTTTGAATTGACGTTTCACGCTTGACCATTCGTCGAAATATAAAAAATAATAATAAAAAAAACAGGAAAAAAGTTCTCGATTCAATTTTTGTTCTGTCGCGTTGCTCTAAAAAAAACGAGGGAAACACTTTGAATACACGAATTTTATGGCAATAAATAGACAAGTATTTTTTTGAGACAAAAAATTAATGTGTGGAAAAAATTTCCATTTACTGAATTGGAGGGTATCACTGATATTTTTAACTATATCAAGAAAATAATTGAAATATTCCATAAAATTATTTTTAAATTAATTTTTTTGTGAGGAATTCAATGTTCAGAAAATATTTTTTAATTTTTATTAATAAAATTCAATATTTTTGAATTTTTATTAATAAATTTCAATATTTTTGAATTTTTATTTTTCTTACAAAACAGTGAATTTTGAAGTCCATGCGTAATTTTGTAGAAAATGTTTTTGAATCCATAAAAAAATTGCCAAATAAAAAAATTGATTTTCATAATTTTTGAAGTATTCTTTATTTTATTTTATTTATTTTTTTCAAATCTTTGTTTTTAGGCTAAAAGTGCTAAAAAAAAATAGCATTCTTATTCAATTTTTATAGAAGAAAATTCATTTGTTTAAATTTTTAACTAATTTCAGATGATAATTTTATAAGCATTAATTTTATTGTTCTTTCTTTATGTATATAAAAATTATCATCTGAAATTAGATATAGAAAAATAAAGAAATGAATTTTTAAATAAAAAAATTGAATAATAATATTTTTTTAGAATTTTGAACCTAAAAAACAGATTTTTTTCATTTAAAAAAACCCTTCAAAAATTATGAAAATCATTTTTTTTATTTGGCAATTTTTTTGTGGATTCGAAAACATGTTTTCTGCAAAATTACGCATGGATTTCAATATTCCACCAATTTTTAATTAAAATAACAATTCAAAAAGGGTCAAAATATTTTGACCTCTGAATTCCTCAAAAAAAAATTACTTAAAAATGATTTTGTGAAACATTTAAACTATTTTCTTGATATAGTTAAAAATATCTGTGTACACTCTTCTTAAAATCCAGTGTAACTTTAATAATTTGGAAATATTCCATATTATTGAAGTTGTAGTGTAGAGAAAATATTTTCGTTCATGGAAATATTTTCTTTTCAGTATTTTGTTAATATTTTCTTTTCTAATATTTTATTTTAATATTTCTTTTCTAATATTTTATTTTCAATATTTTTTAAATATTTTTTTTTTTAATATTTCGTTTTCAATATTTTGCTTTTCTTGTATTTTGTTAAAATTTTGGTAATATTTTGTTTACATTATTTTATTTTGTTTATATTTCACGGAAAAAATATTTCACCTGGAACAGCGATAATTTTCTCTAAAATAGCGAAGATCTTAACTGAAACATCTAAAAATTCCGCTATTACAATAAAATTTATAGTTGTTCCAGATAAAATATTTTTTGCGAGTTGTCTAAATTTTGCCAATATTTTGTCAATATTTTGTCAAAATTTTGTCTATATTTTTTCAATACTTTAAAAATATTTCGTTAATATTTTTTTAATATTTCGTATTATTAAAAAAAATTTCGCTATTACAATAAAATTTGCAGTTGTTCCAGATAAAATATTTTTTGAATGTTGTCTAAATTTTGCCAATATTTTGTCAAAATTTTGTTAATATTTTATATTTATTTTTTCAATATTTTTTAAATATTTCGTTAATATTTTTTAAATATTTTGTTTATATTTGCCTAATTCTCTCTACATTTTGTCTACTTTTTGCCAAAATTTTTATGAATATTTAGATTTATATTTTCTCAATATTTTCCTATTTTCTATTCACTATTCGTTTTTCAATGTTTCCCTCATTTTGTATAAAGACTTGTCCCTAAATCGAGAACTTTTGAAATTAAGACCAGTCCCTGTAGATAAAAACCTATATACGTATTTTATTCCAGTATTAAGATTCTAAATAATAAAAAAAAAAGAAATTAACTAGGTCAAAAACGGTCAACTCAGAATTGTTATGATCGCGCCTATACAGTGAAAGATATTGTCGCTCGTTTTTCTTACACGTTTCAGACACACATACATTTTGCGGCAGGAAAATATTCTAAGTTTTTTTCTTTACTTCGCGATATTCTCTCTACACGACAATTTATTCTCAAAAGGAACTTCGGTTGAACTTTTGTTTTTCTTTTTTTTTTCTTTTTTTCTTTTGTAATATTGTGGTTTTTTTTGTTTTTTAAGAAGGGCAAGTCACTTTACCGTCAAATAAAGCGAATTCTGAAGTAATAAATACATCAATACCTAAGCGCTAATTATTATGGAATTTGTCCTTTCGATTACGTCGTATGAAAATTAAAATACGAGGAAAATGTTTTAGCAAATTGTTGAAACATTTCCGTCGTGAAATTTACAATAATTGTCGAGATAAAAAGAAGAAAAATTCTCTTTTTTTTCTACTTTAAATGAAAATTGGTGAGAAAACGAGTGAAGATATTGGAATAAAATCGGCGCGGACACAATTCAGATCTGTATCCGGGATACGGTATTCGGAGGCTTGCCGGGGTTAGATATGGCCTGAATAGTTAGGGCTTACTGATGTCATTATTTAGTGACAATTGCTCAGAAAGTTTTTGTTGTTGTTGCTGCTGTTGTTGTTGTTGCTGCTGTTGTTGTTGCTGTTGCTGTGGCGTCATTTCACTAACGGCGCCGCCACTTAATAATTTTGCGTTATTGTTCTCTGTACTCGATACCTTTGCGTATTCACGTTTTCGCGACATATTCTCCGTTTTGACTATCGTTATGTCGGGATTGTTCTCAAGAACGGACGTCGCTGCTTTCGGCACAACATTTGGTACATCAATATAACCGCCGCCCTCCCTTTTTATTGGTGTTGACGTCGTGGCAGTTGTCACTGTTGTCGCGTTTGCATTCACATTCGCGTTTATTTTTTGCAGTATATCATTCACTGAATCATTGTTATCAAGTTCACTGTTACCATCCATATTGCTTGCCGAGACGCTTAAATCGCCCGCTAACGATATTCGATCGGGACCCTGTAGCGTTGAGAGGTATGTGGCTAATGTGTGGACGGTTACATTCAGGAACTCAGCCGCTCTGAAAAGTGTAATTTCTTTTCTTCGCAATTTGGCGAGCACTTCCGCTGGACCCGGCTCTGACCAAAAATCTCTCACTCTGCAATGATTATAACTGTTTAGAAATAGAATATTAATTACTTAATATACGCATCCTTTTCAAGAGAAATTATTATTAATTATTAATTAGTTTACAAATAAATAATCCAACTATAATTTGATATCTTTTGGGGAAAATTCCTTTTTTTCGTTTAATTTATTTGATCAAAAGTATTTTTTTTGTTCGTTAAATTTTGATCGTAGGTGAAGTTTACATTTATAATCCAAAAGTTGGAGGAAAATATTTTTTACCCGGAAAACAATATTTTTTGTTTACAAATTTCTATTTTTGGAATTGTTACCAGATTTTTGGAAATTAGATTTTAGACTTGATTTTAGATTTTTTGGAAATGTTGTTACAAAAAGTTTGTAGATAACAATTAGAATAGAAAAATATTTGTTTTAAAACGTTGATTATAAATGTTGTGAACTTCACCGACGTCATTTTTTAAGACACATGAATATTCCTTAACAATTAATTCATTTAAACTTTCTTTTAACAGAATCTAAAAAGACAGAATTTTATCCAAAGTGATTTTTGAAAACTAAATTTCCATCTGTTTGAATTTTTATTTTATTCAAATGAAGTTATTTTCGTAAATTAATTCTAAATTAAAATTTTTATAAAGAGGCAGAGATTTATTTATAAAAACAAAAATAACGCGGTATTTCATTTATAATTATTATGCAAATTACAAAAAAATTTTATTTTCAAATATTAATTTCAATTTTGAAATTATTTCAGGTTCAAAATTTAAAAAAATTCAATTATTAACTAAATTAGTAATTATTTTAATTCTTTATTGTTTACAAAAATTGTAGTAAAGTTCTTTGCTGGAGTTCAATTATTTTCAATAGAATTTTAATAAAATTTTTGAAAAGAATTAAATTATTTTTAAAAGTTTGATGAAATTCTTCGCAAAAATTTTAAAAATTTTGAAACATTTTGATTATATTCTTTATGAGAATTGAAATATTTCCAATACAATTTTAACAAAATTTCTTTAAAAAATCAAAGTATTTTCGAAAATTTAAATAAAATACTTAGCAAGATTTCAATTATTTTCATAATTTATAAATTTTTTCTCAGAAATTTAATTATTTTGAAGAATTTTAATAAAATTCTTAGCAGAAGTTCAACTATTTTGAAACAGTTTGATTAAATTCTTTATGAAAATTGAATTGTTTCCAAAATTAATAAAATTCTTCGAAGGAATTTAATTATTCCAAAGAATTTTAATAAAAATCTTCGCAAAAACTTTATAATTTTGAAAATTTTCAATAAAATTCTTTTACAAACAAATTTAATTAAATTCTTTGAAAACATTTCATTCTTTTCCTAAAAATAATAAAATTTTTCTCAGAACTTTTATTGTTTTGAAACATTTTGATAAAATTCTTTATAGTAATTTTTTTATTTTTAAGATAATTCTAATAAAATTTTCACGAAAATTTCAATTATATTTGCATAAATAATGATTAAAAATTTACAAAAGTATTTATGAAAGATTTTCGGAATATTCAAGTTTCTTTAATTTTGTTTTGTATTTTATTTTTTTCTCTCTATTTTTTCTTTAATTTTTCGCCTTTATTATTTATAAAATAAAGAAGACATTTGTCTTTTCAATTTTTATTCTCTTCAATTTTGTCCTTGTCAGAAATGATTTAATAAAAATTTGTATTTATTTTCAATATAGTTTTCAATTTTTTTTTTATTCTTTTATATTTTTAATATTTGAATTTCACGTCACTGTAAATTCGATTAATATTTAATTCTCTTCTGAATTTTGGGACAAATCATGTTACGTTTAATTGACGTCATGTGAAATTTATGCTAAAATTGTCCAATTAATATTAAATTATGTTCCCGTTCGTCAAAATGAACATTACGTCAAACGATATTTCCAGTAAATACAAATTTTGACAAATAATTTCTATAGTGCAAAACATTTCCTGTAAAAAAACAATATTTAAATACTTTAACATTCTGAATGAAGCGTGTAACTAAAATTTAAAAACATTTAAAAATATACTTATAATTTCTAGTTAAAATTCAATTAAAAATTAAAAATACTCATTGTTAATTGATTTTAGTTTTCAACTTACTTTTACTTTAGTTTTGAAAAACAAAATTTAAGGCTAATTTTTAAGAGAAATTTAATTTCTACGGGTCAGGTGTTCTAAATGCGGGATTTTATTTTCAAATGCGGGTCATTTATCATTTTCAAGCTCATAGATAATTGAAAAATTAAAAAAGTTGACGAAGAGAAATTTAGTTTTTAAAATATTAGATAATTGGTATTTATTTAGATGATTAATTGTAGTATTTTTTGTGAAAATGTAATAACAGATAGGTTGTATAGTTTTTGAGTGCATTTTTTAGTAATTTAACTTTCGGTCAAATAAATCACACGAAAAAAATATATTTTGCTTCTCTAATTAATTATTAACTAGAGTACTAACTATAATTCTCTAATTAACTAAAAATACTTTTAGAACTAAGAAAGTAGAATCAGGAAAAATTTAATCTTATCACGAATTAATAAAAAGAAACTTATTTTTTTGATTTTTATCGAGAAATTTTTATTAAAGATCATGAAGATTTTTTTACGTCTCCAAAGTTTTGAGAAATCAAATTGAACGGAATTATTTTGATTTGAATATTATTTTGATAATAATATTGATTTAATAATAATATTGATCCACTATTATTATTAAATCAATATTGTTATCAAAATAATATTACGCCTCAAAAAATAATTCACAAATATTCAAATTTTTTTAATTTATATATATTTTTCTTTTTAATTGCAAAAGGTAATTTTCGAAAATATTTATATTGGAAAAATATTTCTATTCATTTAAAATTTTCGAATCTTTTGGAGCATTTTTTTTTTGCATTTTGCTTCTAAAACCAAATTAACAATTTTTATTTTTAAAAATCAAATCTAGTCGGATTATTTGATTTGTTTATTTTTTTTATGAGTGCAGTGATAAATTTTCTAAATTTACAATTTTTTTTTGAAAAACTGAATGAAAAAATGAATGAAGAAATAAATGAAGAAATGAATGAAGAAACGAATGAAAAAAATGAAATGAAAAATTGAAATTAAACAGAGAAAAAAAATTTCATGATGCATAAAATTGCACAGTAAAATAAAGAAATTGAATAGAAATGAAAAATAATAAAAAGAATGTGATATTCGATAAAAAATGAAAGTGGTTTTTATGAAAATGAAAAGGTTTTACTTAAAAAAATGAAATGAAATGAAATGATTGTGGTTTTTGGTATTGAAGAATTTGAAATTACAATAGATAATTTTAAATACCTGTATGGGTGTTTAAGGCATCCATAACTGTCACGGTATCTCCCGTAAAGAGTTCCATAAGAAACTCCGAGTATTTCAGCTGCAGTCTTCATTTCCAGTTCCTTGCTTTTTATGGCGTCCATAACGCGTCGCGTGAAAGGTTCCTCCCAGAACTCCTGACGTCGACCCGTCGTTAAATAATCGTTCATTTTGATAACATCCCGAAATTGTTCAGGTATCGCTGGATTCGAGGCGTTTAAAGCCGAAGGTGTACTGGGGGCTGAAAAAGTAATAATTGCATCAAATCCTCATTCTCATTTTCAATTTGAATTTTTAATAACTATTTCAATACTAATATACAAAGTATTTTTATTATATAAATAGTAAACAGTATTCATTATTTTTATTACAATTATAATAAATAATTATTACTATAATTTTCATTATAATTACAATAATTAAATAATTAATACTATTTACTATCATTTTTCTAATTCTAATAATTAAACAATAATCATTATTTTCGTATTATTATTATTTTGTAATTATTTATCATTAGAAAATTCGTTACCTTTCTTCTCCAAGTCGTTTCCTTCCTCTTTTGACATGTACGAGAGCTGTAAAAGGAAGAAAATCGTAAATTAGTTAGAAATTCAATAGTAACAATGAATTAATATTCAATTCAATTAAAATTCGATTTAACTGATATTGAAAAAAAGAGGGAAAAAAAACTGACAGAATACTAACCATTGAAAGAGAAGGGTCGTTATTTTCGTTCGTTGCCATCATGTCATCATCCCAACTTTCATGGTCACCTCCCTCGCTCATCATTTCCTCCTGATCAAGAGAATTTAAAACCATTAGCAATCAAATATAAATTAGTTAAATGGAGAAAAAAAATTTCTCCACATTTTTACAAATTCTACACATTTTTTTACAATTAATAAATCTTTAAATTGAACGATTACGAAAAATTAATTACAAGCAATTAAAAGATGAAATTTTTCTTATATATATATATACAGAAAAATAATTTACATAACGTGATTTATAATCGAAACAAACAAAAATTTATAATCTAAATTAATTAATTAAAAAATATTAAAATTTCTGTTGAATATTTTTTTTTTTTACAAAATTCTGCAAATTTAATTTTTATTTGTTTTCTAAATTAGAATTTCGATTGCATTTCCATAAAAACGGAAATTTCTACTGAAATTATAATCAAATTATGTAGATTATTTTCCTGTAAGAAAAGTTATGATCGAGTTCTATACTATCGAGAGTTTATACTTGATAAAAATTCAGTTTTTATAGAAATTCAATTAAAATTCTAATTTATGAAAGAAATATTTGATTTTTATGAGCAAATATTAATCAAAAAATTCGAATATTTATTTTTTAGTATCTACTAATTATTTTTTTACGAAATTATAATCACGTTTTGTAGATTATTTTTCTCTAAGAAAATTTTCAATCAAATTTTATGCTTTTGAAAATTTCTATTGAAACGAATGAAAATCAGTAGAAATTCTCAATAACATAAAATTCGATTGGAAATTTCCTTAGAGAAAAATAATTTACAAAACATTATAATTTCGAACAAGAAATGAATTACTAAAAAATAAATATTTCAATTTTTGATTAATATTTTCTATAACAAAAATTGAATATTTCTACAAAGTACAATTTAAATACAATAGTTGAATTTCTACAAAAAGTAAATCTAATTAAGTAGAAACTATCAATAGTATAAAACTATAAAGTATAAAAATCCGAACATTTTTTACAGAAAAATAATTTACATAATTTGATTATAGTTTCATAGGACAAAATGGATAAAATTAATTACTAAAAATACACTTACTACAATTTTTGCTTAACATTTTCTATAAAAATTAAATATTTCTTTTTATTCTTTTATTATTTATTTTTTTTCATTTTAGAATTTCTGTTGAATTTCTATAAAAACTGAATTTACATAAATAGAAGTTTAATTAAATTTTCAATTAAGTTGAAATTCACGATAGTAAAAAATTCCATAGTACATTCTTTACTGAAGAATAATTTGCATAATGTGATTATAATTTCAAAAAGAAAATTAATTTTAAAAAATAAATATTTAATTTTTTGCTGATTATTTTCTATAAAAATTAAATATTTGTTTTGTTCGTAAATTAAAATTTCAATTGAATTTCTAAAGAAAAGGAATATGATTTTGCAGAATATTTTCTCTAATAATTAAGTATTTTTTTCCAAATTAGAATTTCAATAATTGAATTTCTGTAAAAACGAAGTTTAATTTGTTTTTACAGAAATTCTCGATAGTAATAAAATTCGATAGGAAAATTTCTTACGGAAAAAGTAATTTAAATAAAATCTGATAATAATTTCAGAAAGAAAATTAATTAATAAAAAAATGATATTTAATTTTTTTCTCAAATTTTTTGTAAAAATTAAATATTTCCTTTGAAAATTAATTTTCAAATTTCAATTGAATTCTTATAAAAATGTAATTTAATTACCCATGTCAGAAATTCTCAACAGTATAAAATAAATAAATATAAATGAAAGTTTTTTAATAAACATTTTCTACAAAAATTAAATATTTCTTTTATAAATTCGAATTATAAATTAGAATATCAATTGAATTTCAATAAAGTTGGAATTTAATGAAGTAGAAAATTCTCGATTGAGTAGAAATTCTCAATAGCATAAAACTCGATCGGAAATTTTCTCACGGAAAAATAATTTACATAACGTTATTAGAATCTTGGAAAACAAATTAATTAATCAAACAAATATTTTTATTTTTTACAAAGAACAGGTTTAAAATATTTTCAATATCTTCAGATAAAAATTCAATTAGATTTGATTTAAAAACTTCATTTTAAATTCAATTTAATTTCAATTTAGTAAAAAATGAATATTTTTTGTCGATGAATATTTTATATAAAAATTAAATATTTTTCGCTAAATATTTTCTATAAAAATTAAATATTTTTTTTCTAAATTAGAATTTAAGTAAATGAATTTCTACAAAAGCGGAATTCAATTAGTTTCCATAGAAATTGTCATGAGTAATAAAATTTGATCGGAAATTCGTTTCAGAACTAAGAAATAATTGACTTTTTAGTAAATATTCACTGTATATCGACAATTTTACCAAATATTTGATTTTCTATCCGAAAATATTTATTTATTTATTGAATATATAGACGGGACAAATATTGAAAATATTTCCCAGAAATTTTTTTTGCTGGAAAATAAAAAATAAAAATTTACATGGGGTGGGAATTAAAATTGTAAAAAAAAATCTAAAAATTACATTAAAGAATTATTAAATTCCCATTAATTAAATTACCAGGGAAAATAGAATTATTGCTACAATTCGAGTGATGTAATTTTCTATGCAGCGTGAAAGCGTGCATATTCACCATGCAGTTAAAAAGTGCCAGTTGAAAAAAAAGTATTTGACAAAAAAAAAAAAAAGAATGAAAAAAAACTAGGTGGGGGAGGAAATGGATGGAAACTAAATCCCAATGCTCCCAAAGCTCAGCTAACCTGGTTTACATTTAATGAGCCCTCTGTGCCTACATTTCCGGTGATACAAGTGATTTTCGGCGTGAAAACATCATGCGCCGATGGTGGATCATCAAGAGGTGGACGACCCCTACGCCTCTGTTTTGGCATAGGTTGATCATCCCCATCTCCTTCCCTGAGGACGGTTTCCACTCCAGGGGTGGCTGACGCTGGACTGTGACCACTATTTGCTATATCATTCTGTGCTGAGTCACTTCGCCAGCTGACTTCGGCTAATCCTTTAATGTGCAAATCTTCTGCAGTCTTTAATAGAGATGAGAGCCTCGTCTGAAAAATTCATTTTCTCCGTTAGATTCGGTACAATTTTTGATAAATTTAAAACAATTTTAAATTATAGTAATAATTAGCAAATTTTACACGTGCAAAATGCGGTATTCAATTTATTATTAGGCAATTAACAAAAATTTGTTATTTTCAAATGTCAACTTCAATTTTTGAATAAATTCAAATTTTCCATAATTTTAATGAAATTCTTCGCAAGAATTAAATTATTTTCTGAAAACAATTTTTCATAATATTTTTCGAAAGAATTTAATTCATCGCAAGAATTCAATTATTTCTCTAACATTTTAATAAAATTGTGGAAAAAATTTAATTCCAAATTTTTCATAATATTCTTCGAAAGAATTCAATTACTTTCTAAAATTTTAATAAAATTCATCGCAAGAATTCAATTATTTCTCTAACATTTTAATAAAATTGTGGAAAAAATTCAATTTTTTTTTTAAAAATGTAATGAAATTCTTTGCAAGAATTCAATTATTTCAATTTTAATAAAATTCTTTGCAAGAATTCAATTATTTTCTGAAAACAATTTTTCATAACATTTTTCGAAAGAATTCAATTATTTTCTAAAATTTTAATGAAATTGTTGGAATTCAATTATTTTCAAAAAAATTTAATAAAATTCTTTGCAAAAATTCAATAACTTTCATAAATATAAAATTCTGCGCAATAATTCAATTAATTCAATTTTAATAAAATTCTTCGCAAGAATTCAATTATTTCTCTAACATTTTAATAAAATTATGGAAAAAATTGAGACAATTTTAATTAACTTGAGTCAATTTTAATTAAAGTATAAAAATAATTTGCAAATAATGGCTCGTTTTATTATTTTAAATTTAGAAAACCAATAGATAATTTTTCTTCCTTGTATATAAATAAATTAATGGAATAAATTTTTTTTTATTCTCTTTTATTGCGAGATATTAAATATGCACTTTGTAGCATTTCGATCGATTAAATTCTAGGAAACTGGCGACATAGAATTTACGATCGATTTGAAAAAAAAATGATAACAGTTGCATTATATATCGAGTGTATGTGAAAGAATTTCTACACATTATATAAAAATTTTCAAGAAGTTTTCTCTCATCAGGGAATTTAATTTGAAACGTAAATTACAAAAAACCATTGAATCATTAGTAAAATAACATTAGCAAAAATCGTGCTGACTTTAACTCCAAGTTAATAATTTTTTTTTTTTCTGAGAACAAACAGCTGCATCGGTTATAATACATAATGTGCTAGGTATTCACTGATGATTAGAGGCGTGTTTTTCTTTTTTTTTTTGGAACGAGACAATAAAACAAGATACTCGGAAATTTTTTCATTATTTCGCAACGTTTTTTAAGTTCCTCGAATTTGGCGAAAAAATTTATCGCTTTCAAAAATATATTTCTTTTTTATAATACTTTTTTTTAAAAAATGTAGAATAAAGCATTTTGAAGCATAATCGAAAATTCGATTTTTTTTTCTAAAACGATGCAGGAAAAAATAAATACACGAGACCCGAGATTATTCAAATTTCAATCTTCGCTCAAAATTTAATTAAAGAAAATTTAACGAGCGAGATTTTCAATCTTATAACTTATAAGATGGCAAAGTTTTCTTAATTAGATCTTTAATAAAGAACTTTTGTGAAAAATTCTTAATAGGACGCGAGAAAGAAGTTGATGAGCAGTTAAAAAGTAATTTTCTTTACTTTAATTAAATAAATTTCACAGAATTGATAACATTTAAGTCTTTTATCAATATATTTTTCTTTTTTTTTTGCCCCCCTTCATATACCGGTTAAAAGTTGGAATCATTTTTCATTTATAACTTTTATATAGTGAATCTAATAAAAGGACAGTGGCCATTACGTGGAAATAAGTCAGTTACTTTTTTTTTAACTCGTCTCTCTTTTTTTTTTGCAAAAAGAAAATAAAAAAAAATTCGTTCATGCACGATCGTACAATAAAAATAAAACTAATATAAGAGCAATTGCGGGCGTAAAAATAAAATATAAAAAATTGACTGCTGTTATTTTTATCTTGTACCATAATCAAAGTCGATGCAAGTGTTGAGCTTTTCAAACGATGAGCTTTTGTTGGAAGCCATCAAATGAAAGGGGTTCAACGACGACGATGGTGAAAGGAAAGGAAAGGGAGAAAGAAAGAATAAATGAAAAAAGAAAGAAAAAAGGAAGGAAGGAAGGAAAAGGGGAAAAGAAGAAAGAATTTGGAGAAAACCCCGCGAGAAACAATGAATCTAATTATTATTTTTGCTAATTTTCACTGCAATAATGCAATGCGCCATTGAATGCTAAATAATATGGGAACTTTCTACAAACGCTGCGGCTTTCTATCGGCCGAACTGGCAGAATTGGAAAAATGCTAAGTGGGTCACAACGGTGCGCGGGGAATAAATGTATTTCAGAAATTGCCGCTTTCGTTTCGTTGACTCGATGTGAAAAACGTGCCATGTGACGCAAAAGCGATCGAGCAAAACTCCTATATACATCATCCAATGAGATATTGGGGATCAATCAGCAAAACTTGCGAGCGCCACGAAATTTTCATTTTACTGTCTCCAAAAAAATAAAGAAAAACCGCTTTTTTGCTAAACGAAGAAATCCTCCCAAGATTGGAAAATATTCTCAACTGCAACAACTAAACGAAAAAGAAGAATTAGATCATTTAAAAATCGACCAATTATTATTTGAGAAAAAAAGAAAAAATTTCCCTCACAAATAATTTTTGAGAAAGAAATTTAAATATTTGAGAAAAAAACGAAAATTTCTTGAGAAATAAATTTAAACATTTGAGAAAAAATACAAAAATTTCTTGAGAAATAAATATCAATTATTTAAGAGAAAAAGATAAATCTTTCTTGCAAATAATTTTGAGAAATAAACAAAAATTTCAAAATATTTGAGAGAAAACGAAAAAATTTTGAGAAATAAATGTAAATATTAATTATTTGAGAAAAAAAGAAAAATTGCTCTCGCAAATAATTTTGAGAAATAAATATATAAATTATCATTTGTTTGAGAGAAAAAGATAAATTTTTCTTGCAAATAATTTTTAAAAATAAACATAAATCTCAAATATTTGAGAAAAAAGAAAAATTTCCCTCACAAATAATTTTTGAGAAATAAATTTCAATATCAAATATTTGAGAGAAAAAAAACGTAAAAATTTTGAAAAATAAATGTAAATATCAATTTTATTTGAGAAAAAAAAAGAAAAATTGCCCTCGCAAATAATTTTGAGAAATAAATTATAAATTATCATTTGTTTTTGTGAAAAAAAGAAAAATTTTTCTCGCAAATAATTTTGAGAAATAAACATAAATGGCAAATATTTGAGAAAAAAAAGAAAAAATTTTCTAGTCAATAATTTTGAGAAACAAATATCAAATATGTGAGAAAAAAAGAAATATTTTTCTTTCAAATAATTTGGAAAAACAAAATGTTTACCGACGTTTTTGAACTAAATGAAAATTTTTTCCTCCCACCTGTTTCAAAAAATAGAATTTATTGGAAAATTAAATTATGTCCCTAAAGATTCGAACTTAAAATGAACGACAATTTTTTTTTATATAATATTTCGTTACAGAAAATTTTTAAATTCGAATTTTGTTAGAAAATATTTTTTTGCTTATTTAGAGAGTTTTCTTTCTATAAGTATTGAATTTATTTTATTTTTAATTTTATTCCAGTAATTTTTCGAAATGTTTTAATAGAAAAAAATATTCGTTCATTTGAAATTTGAAAGCTTTGGGGAAATATTGGATTCATTTATAAATAGGTATCGATTTACTTGAATTTTTAAAATTAGAAAATAGAAAATTAGAGAAAAATTAAAAACGTTAATGAAAAGTTATGAATAAAAAAATTTTTTCTATTGTAAAAATTCTAATGATTAATTTAAAAAATTTTAAACTAATTTTACTAATTTATATTGCAATTACATCAATTATCAAAATTATAAGAATAAATTTTGTGAAACTATTTTTGCAAGAAAAATTTCGAACTTATTTTCTTTTCCACAATTTTTGCGTTTATCAGTTAATTTCTTTTATTTTAAAAGTTTGATTCTTAAACAGTTTTTTTCGTTAAACGTTAAATGTTATAATTAAATTATAATCAAATGTTATAGTTTTTGTAATTCTCATAATTTTGAATCTAAATTCTTAATTAAATTATTATAAATTACAAAAATAATTAAATTCTTGAATAGAATTGTATTAAACTTTTTGAAAATAATTTAATTTTCTCGAAGAATTTTATTAAAAGTTATGAAAATAATTAAATTCTCGCGAGGAATTTAATTAAAATTCTATTGAAATAATTTAATTGTTATGAAGAATTTTATTAATATTTTTGAAAGTAATTGATTTCTATGGAAATATTTTATTGAAATTGGATTGAAATTGAATTCCTTTAAAGAATTTTATTATTTATTAAAATAATAATTGAAATGTTTCCAAAATTTTATTATAATTTTTCGAAATAATTAAATTCTCCCGGAAAATTTAATTAAAATTCTATTAAAATTTAAAATAATTGAATTCTTTTAAGAAAGAACTTTATAAAATTTTAGAAAATAAATTAAGTGTCTCGAAGAATTTTATTAAAGTTTTTGAAAATAATTAAATTTTTGCGAGGAATTTAATTAAAATTCTGGTATTGAAATAATTTAATTCTTTGGAAGAATTTTATTAAAACTTTTAAAAATACTTTAATTCTTTCGAGAAATTTTATAATTTATAAAAATAATTGAATTGCTTCCAGAAATTTTATTAAAATTCTGTTGAATTATAAGAAGATTCTTATAAAGAATTTAATCAAAATTTTTTTTAAACTTTAATTGAATTCTTTCAAGAAATATTATTAAACTTGTATTGAAAATAATTGAATTTCTCAGAATAAAGTTATTATTCGTGAAAATAATTGAATTGTTTCGAGAAATTTTACAATTTTTACGAAAGTAATTGAATTCCTTCGAAGAATTTTATTATTTATGAAAATAATTCAATTGTTTCGAAGAATTTCATTAAAAATTTTTTTAAAATAACAAGTATAATCATATTTAATTAGTCAAAAACAATTTTTTTCTAAGAATAATTTAATAAATATTTTAAGTATCCTAATTTTAAAGAAAAAAAAATTAAAAAATAGAAATATTTTAATTTATAACCAAAAAATAAAAATTATAAACTGACAAAATTCATAAATTGTGCCCCAGTTTTTTTTGAGCAAATAAATTTTATATTTTTAATTTCCAAATAGGTGATGCAAAAAAAAAGGTAAATCGATTTCTAAAATAAATTTAATGCAACTTGTATGTATAAAGCTATTTTAGTTTTTAGAGAAAAGAAAATGAAAGTGACCCAGAAATCAACAATAAAATTGTACTTACATGGTCGATATTGATCTCTCCCTTATACATGAACTCCACCAATACTTTAATATCGGAAAATTTCACGTCACGCATGATCACTATTGGATCCTTTTCCTCGTACTGTGATAGAATTGTGTCGAAGTACGTACTACACGCCGACAATACAACCTAAAAACAAAAAAAGAACAATTCATTACAATAGGAAATACTGGATTTTCGAAAAATAATTAAATAATAAATTGATAACAAAAACAATAAAATACAATAAGAATTATAAATTAATAACGAATTTAAATAATAATTATTATTTAATGTCAATTTTATTATTTTTTATTTTGTTTTATTTTATTTTTTATTTACAAAAATTATTTAAATTTGTATTATTATTTAAATAATTCTTTATAGTTTATATTACTATATTTAAATAATAAATAATTCTTTACAGTAATATTAATATTATTTCTTTATCATTTTTAATTATTATTTAAATTTTGATTAAAGAAATTTTTAAACCAACGTTTAATAAATATTTAACATACAAATGCATTCATTTCCATTAGAAATTTATTGGCAATTCTCGATTAAAAAGTTTCCTGTATATATATATATTTGCGAATAAAAAAAACTATTCCTTATATATTCAGAGAACAAAAATCGTCGAATATCGGAAATCGAAATTGAATTTTAATTAAAATTGTTTCGAGTAACCACTGATTGGAACAAGTTAATTAAATTTATTCTTTAATAAAACTAGACAAAATTTGAATTGCTCTCAATTTTAGTCAAGCTATGTATGATACATGAAAATTATATCAAAAACCACTTGAAACAATAAATAATTTTTCAAGTATCAACAAAAATTGCAATTATTAAATGATGAAAAACAGGGTTTTTTTCTCTCTCTCTTTTGAATTTATAAACGAAAATATTATAAAACAGAAACTTTAAATTTCAATCAATTTAAATAAAAATTAATTAAAACTAAATCAATTCAAATTTAAATAAAAATCAATTAAAACAAAATCAATTTAGATTTAAATAAGAATTAATTAATAATAAAAAATAAAAATTGATAAATAAAATTAAATTATAGGATTTTTACTAAACTGTACATGGAAAAAATTTCCATGTTTACTTTTGCTACGTTCAATATTATTTACAAATTTAAAAATTTAATAAAATTAAATTAAATAAGAAGTTTTGACTTTAAAAATTTAATTTAATAAATTTCACTAATAATTCTTTTCTACTACAATTCACTCAATAAAATTAATGTTAATAATTATAATATTTACTGATTTAATTTCAATTTATTGACGATTAAAGTGACCATTAATTAAAACGACTACTAATTTTAATTACTAATTATTAAAATTAATTAGTTAATCAATTTATTATTATAAAAGTATAATTAATTACTTAGTTAATTAAATTATTATGGTAAATTATAATTAATTAATTAGGTAATAAATTAAATTATTATTGTAAATTATAATTAATTAATTGCTTTAATTATAATTATAAATTATAATTTATAAATTAATTTAATTATCATTATAAATTATAATTAGTTAATTATTAACTATTAAAATTACTATTCATTACAACGGCTGTAAATTTTAATTTCCTTCGATTAAAATTATAACCAATTAAAACAATTGCAAATTTTCATTGTTGGCAATTTAAAATAGAATTCATTGCATTTTCATTTATCCCCGAATAAAAATTTTGCTAATTCTAACTTTTAAATCTTTAATGTTCAGTTATTTGAATTCTTCGTATTTTTATTTTTTCAAAAGGGAAAATTTTGTATAAAATAATTTTCTCACCAAAAGAGGAGAAATTAAAATTTCCAGAAAATAAATTACTAACGTAATCGATGCAATAAAAAATAAAAATTCTTCTAGTGTTAATTTTTACATTTAGTTTTAAATCGAAATTTATTTTCTTTCCTATATTGAAAATTGTATCCGAGATTTATTATTTACAATTTTTTTTCTGTTTTTTTTTTTGCAAATACCAACTAACAATTAAAACTATCTCCCACCACCCCTTTCTTTTTCATAGATAACTGAAATTTAAAATAAAACAAAAAAAAAAGAAGAAAAAACTCAATTGTCTATCGAAACTGGGAAAGCGATAGAAACCATATTTCATCGTCGTCGTTTATTTACATTGTATTGTACTTTATATTTTATGCATTTTGCTCTTTTCTGTTTGCTTTGGTAATTTACATATTTTTCCATTTTCCTTTTTCATCTTCAACCTTGCCCAACCCACCTGACACTCACACCCCGGAATTCCTCTGAACAAGATTTCAATTCTTTTTATTTTTTCTTTCTCTACGTTAAAAAAGAAAGGAAAAAAGAAAATTTACGATTCAAATGCAAATGTTTCATCTTTTCATTGTTTACTGGTATAGTATATAAATGGGGAGAGGGAGTATAGGGATCTTAATTGCAAAAAACGCATCACAATACATTTAATTTCGCTAAGAAAATAATATAATAAATTAAAAAAAAAACTGAGTCGAAAAGAAAAAAATTTATAAAAAGAATATTATTATTATTTTTATTTGTTATTGCGACAGGAATAAATTTTATCATTTTGAAACTAAAATTCGTAAAAATAAAATACTAATAAAATTCTTATTTGATGTAATTTATTATTAATATTATTATTTACGAAGTAAGTTGTACTTACTTTAATTAAATTTATTTTAACAATAGAAGCAAGTTTAGTAAAAAAAATAGTAAACTTTTTAAAACTGGTAGTAAATTTAACAATTGTAAATTATTAATAATTGAAATTGGTAGCAGTCTTAATTAGTGGTAATTTTAATTGATAGTAATTCTAATTACTGACGATTAAAATTACAATCAATTTTAATTACTAGCGATTAAAATTACTATCAATTCTAATTACTGGCGATGATAATTACTATCAATTTTAATTGTTATGGATTGAAATTACTACAAATTAAGACTTTTAACAATTTTAATTAATAGTAATTATAATTAATTAATAATTATTAATAATTAAAAATTAGGAATATTTTAATTAAGTTGTGAATTAAATTTAAATCTAAAATCTAAAAATTTTAATTAATTAATTAATTTTAATTCACCAGTCATTAAATTCTGTAGTAATTTTAATCGACAGTAATTAAAATTTGCATTAATTTTAATTACAGCAATTACATTCATCAATAATTAAAAAATAAAAATAATTATTGGTGTAATAAATTAAAAATTTTTAAATTCAATCAAATTTAATTAAAAATTTAACTAAAATTGGTTGCAGTTTTAATTCTATTCTATTTCTATTTTAATTATATTTGTTATCAAATGACAATTTCCTGTAAATAAAAATTCGAACAAATGAAGATTTGATTGAATGGTAATTCTGACCTTTAATTAATGTTCTCGACTCACTAAATGACTAAAAAGTTCTGTTTAATTGAGACTTTTTTGCTAAATTAAAATTCGATTAGATTAGATTTCCTTTAAATTAAATTATTTCGAAAATTTTTTAATTCAGCTAATGAAAATAAAAAAGTTATATATATAAATTAGAAAAATTCTATATTTAATAACAATCTCTCAAATATTCCAAGTGATAATTAAATTTTTATCCAATATTCCCTGACCCTAAAGAGAATATTCTGATTCACTCTAAAAATAATAAGAAACTCAAAAAAATATTCTATTACATTTATTTACGAATTTCCTTAATTGCGTAAAATTATTCAACACTCCTTCAAAATTATTTTCCTCATTTCAATTCAATTATTATTTTCTACAATTTTTAAAGAAAATTCTTCTTCAAATCAATTATTTTTATAAATTTTCAATAAAGTTCTGTTGAGAATTTTCAAATTCATTTGTTTACAATTCAATTTTACAGAAATTTCTATTTATCGGGAATTCTTCAATTAAATATACATTTGAAAATAAAAACTTTGAAATAATTTTTAAAAATTTCGATTAAGCTTTTTGAAAAAAATTAGTTTCATATAGAATTTTTAATTAAATGTATGACAAATTGAAATTTTTAAAGATTTTAATTTGAAACTTTTACAAAATTCAATTATTTCTAAAAAATTGCAATTATTAGTAACTTCTCCAAAAATTCAATTATTATCTAAAACTTTTACTAAAATTAATTTTTAAATCAATTTTTATTAGAAAATTCTACGAGAATTCAGTTATTTAAATAAAAACAGATAATTTATTGAATAATTGAATATTAAAATTGAAATCTCATACATCATTTTTTCAACAAATTTTTAAAACATTGAATTCTTTCGACGAATTTTAATAATATTTTTAAGAATGTAAAATGTATAATTACATTTTTCGAGGAATTCGATTAAAATTGTATTAAAAAGTAATTGAAATTCTATCAAAATTGCTTTTAAATAAATGAATTCCTTTGGGAAAATTTATTAAAATAATAGATATACAAATTATTGAATTAAGAAAAATTTTTGAAAATAATTGTTACAATGAATTTTATTAAAATTTTGTAAAATAATTGAATTTTATTACTTTTGAAAATAATTGAATTCTTGTGATGAATATTGTTATTTATGATAAATAAATTCATGAAAAAAATTTTGAAATTTTATTAAAATAGTAGAATATTGATAATCATTGAATTAAGAAAAGTTTTTGAAATTAATTGAATTTTGCAATGAATTTTATTAAAATTCCTGAAAATAATTGAATTCCTAAAAAGCATTTTATTATTTATGAAAATAATTGAATTCTTCCGAACGATTAGATTAGAATTTTTTTTAATAATTGAATTTCTAAGAAGAAATTTATTACTTTTAAAAATAATTGAATTTCCAAGAAGAAATTTATTATTTTAAAAATAATTTAATTTTCAAGAAGAAATATTATTTTTAAAAATAATTGAATTTTCAAGAAGAAATATTATTTTTAAAAATAATTGAATTTCCAAGAAGAAATTTATTACTTTTAAAAATAATTGAATTTTCAAGAAGAAATATTATTTTTAAAAATAATTGAATTTCCAAGAAGAAATTTATTACTTTTAAAAATAATTGAATTTTCAAGAAGAAATTTATTACTTTTAAAAATAATTGAATTCTTGTCATGAATATTGTTATATTTATAAAAATAACTGAATTTTGCAAAGAA